AGACAGACAGACAGACAGACAGACAGAGAGACAGAGAGACAGAGACCCATAAGGAATACAATGAGCTATAAAAGTATTTTAATGCCAGAGCAAATTTTATAAGGTTTGCAACACTCCTAACTAATATGGAAAATTACCTCAGGCTCAACATTATTTCATAAATAAGGGAAGGATATTTTACATGTAGGGAGAAAACCCAGTAAACCACGTGGGAGAATAAGGTCATAAAACAAACTGAAATCTACATTGCAAAAATATCTGAAAAACATAACCATTTTTCTTGGGAAACATTAACTTATCTGGAAGTAAACCTGACATCCTCACATGTCTACCTGGTGGCTCTACCCAATCTTAATTTGCATCCTTTGACCTTGCACATGTAGAACCCAGAGGAGTCTTTGTCTGTGCCATGCCAGTGAACCAGACTTTCTTCCCTACCCTCCAATCACTTTTGTTATACTTCTTTTCCACCTAACTCTCCCTTTCAACTCAAACACACACACACACACACACACACACACACACACACACACCGTGTCTTGGGCTTGAACTCAGGGTACCTGGTCATTGTCCCTGGACTTTTGTGTTCAGGGATAGAGCGTTACTACTTGAACCACAGCTCTACTTTAGTTTTTTGCAGAAGGGGGTATGATTAATTGGAGATAAGAGTCTCATGGACATTCATGCTCGGGTTGGCTTCAAACCTTGACCCTCAGAGCTCAGCCTCCTGAGTAGCCATTGGTGACCAGCCCAACCACATTTTTATTTTCTCTAGAGCCCTGTAAGTCCATTTCCAAAGTGATGAGTGAGAAATGTTAGCAAGCCAGCATGTTTTCTTACAAAAGTGAAGAGTTCCACATTCATACCACTTTTCTGCCTCCAGAGTATAGAAGAGCATAGACATCAGTAGGCATGTGGATCATGTCAACTGCCTGTACACTCTGGGAGGAAGGAGGAGAGGTCAGCACTATAATCTTGTGGGTCTTATCTGGAATTTAGGTGGAGGAATGTCAGAGGTACTTTGACTCCTCTGGCTTTATCTCTCAGGTCATGGTCTCTACTTCTGGAATCCCTGACTGACCCTGGCAGAACTTTTAAGGTAGCCAGGCTAATTGAACCATGGGTGTTAAAGATGACAGAGACAGCTTTTGGCTTATTTCTGAAAGGCAAGTTATTCTTTAACATTTGTCTCAACAATGAATGTGCTTCATGTAATAATCCACAAGCACTTATAGATTTTCATGGCTGATTCCCATATAAATTTATAATTCGGGGGTTGGAGTGCAGTCACAGGCCCTTTTAAAAATCAGTAACATACAGATTACATCTCTAAGATTATATAATCTTGATGGGCTAACAATAGCATTCAGTGGGAAGTGATTGCTTTAAGTATGTTGGGCATCTTTTGGGGTTTTTTTGGGGGGGGGTCGGGTGGTGGGGCCTGAACTCTGGGCCTGGGCGCTGTCCCTCAGCTCTTCAGCTCATGGCTAGCACTCTACCTCTTGAGCCACAGCGCTACTTCTGGCTTTTTTCTTTTTGCTTATGTGGTGCTGAGGAATCAAACCCAGGGCCTCATGCATGCAAGGTAAGCACTCTACCACTGAGCCACCTTCCCAGCCCCATTTTGTTTTTGTGTTTTTTTATCTTTATGCCATATTCTTGGCAGAGGATTCTTGAGGCATTTGATCCTTCAGGAATGGGATGAAAGATAATACAGGGTGACATTTCTCAGATTCAGCCCAAAGAAACCTAATGATGGTGAAAAAGAACACCTATGTGTATCTTGGCAGAGAAATAGATGGGGGTGAGAATAAAGCAAAGAAAGGAAGCAAATCCCTACAACAAAAAGATCAGATATTCTTGTCATTTATGTTTACTCTTCCTTTTACTTATCTCTAGTTAAAAAAAAAGCTAAAACAATAATAGCAGTAAAAGAAGTTTTAAGATGTGTTGTCGTTGAGAATCCTGGCTCAATGATCCTAACATGAAATTCAAAATAAACACAAGAAACAGTAGGCTCAGTCTTCAGTGTAGTGGCCAGTCAACACCAAAGCAAATCAGGGATGGCTTAGAGCTATTCAGAGTCCTCTGGTATTTAGAACCAAGGACCAGTGCCAAGAATGTGAGAGAACATTGGTTTCTTTCATGGGACAGGTATGCCTATATGACCTCTGCAATTATCTTCTTTCTTTCTCAACAAATATTTATTGCATGCTGTTTCACTTATTTATTGGCACAATAAGATTGCATAATAAACAATCCCAGAAGTAGTTGCTCCAAATAGCAGCCTGGATTAGTAGAGTCCATAAGGCAAGAAGCTATGAGTCACCATATGAGACTGGGCTGATATGGGTAAGTCTTGCTCATGCTGCATGCAGGTGGGAGTCACATGATTCTACCTGGCTTTATCTGAAGTGAATGGGATGATGCTCACCTTTGGCCATGGTACTCTATGCTCTCTCATGATGATGTTGGAAGCACCGCGTGAAGGCTCTAGGTAGAAAGCCCACTTTAGGCCTCTTCTTTCATCCAAAAGTACTATTACTGAGACTATGCCTTGGATCAAGGTAGGTGGTCACCTATGCCATGGTACAAAGACATTGCTGGAGTAACATGGCAGAAGAGGTGGACATAGGGAGTCATTGGAAACCATCTTCTACGAAAGCTCACAGAGCACTAAGCTCTCTGGCAATCATGAATAAGAGACAAAAATGATTCTTATACATATAGATTTTACATTCTAGTGCAAAGGAACAGAAAATGACATGAATAAGTAAGTTATGGATTGTGTCATAAAGTGATAATTACTGTATTTAAAAATAGATATGGGAAGTGAGAAAGGATGCTGAGTGGAGGAAGATGTGTAAGTTTTAACAAGAGGGATGGGAAATCCTGTTTAGAGAAAATTACCATTGAGAGGAGACTTAAAGGAGATGCACACATGAGTCCTGAAGGTGTCTATAAAGTAATAGTGAGTAGAAAGGCACAGGTGACAACTATATAAGGCAGGATGGATATGAGAGTCTTCACCTGAGGAAAAGGAGCACTGTGCTAAAGAGGTGCAGACCCACACTGTGCAGGGTCTTATGGTCTATGGTGCTTGTATTCAGGTGAGAAGCAGAAACTACATTATTTGACTGACTTTTGTGTGTGTGTGTGTGTGTGTGTGTGTGTGTGTGTGTGTGTGTGTGTCAGTTGTGAGTTTGAACTCTGGGCCTGGGTGCTGTCCCTCAGCTCTTCACCTCAAGGCCAGTGCTCTACCACTTGAGCCACAGCACCACTTCCTGTTTTCTGATTGCTTATTGGAGAAAAGAGTCTCCTTGACTTTCCTGCTCAGGTTTGACTTTGAACCATGATCCTCAGATCTCAACCTCCTAAGTAGCTAGGATTACAGGCATGAACCACCGGTGCCTGGCTTTGGCTGACTTTTTAACAGGAATCTTCTGGCATCTGCCATGAGAATATGCAACAGGAAGAGAGTAATTCAGTGCCTCATTTCATGCAAAGATTCCATGAGAGAGGACCAACTATTGGACCAGGGTGAGAGCATGAGAGGTGGTTGGGTTTTGCATGTAGTTTGATGGTAGAACCAACAGAAACTGCTGATACAGAATGTTGTCTCCCAGGGCTTCTATAACAAGCTTTACATGGTAGGTAGCTTATTCAAAAGCAATGAGTTTCTTAATGTTCTGGGGGTCTGCAGTCAAAGAGCAAGGTGCTACACGGTTGGCTTCCTTGAGGGCTGTGAGAATCTGTTTATGCTTTTTTATTTCACATGCAGATGGCAGTCTTCTTCCTGACTACCTGTTGCTTTTACTCTGCACATGTCTCTGTTCAAATGGTCTCTGTCCAAATGGTCATTTTGGATTGGAGCCCACCCTGATGACATCATCTTAATTGCATTGGCCAGATGATGTTTCCAAGTATAGTCACATACTGATGTGTTAGGGATTTAAGCATTGACTGTTGGTTGTGGGATACAATGCAAACCATAACACGGAACATGAAAGTAGGACTAAAGATGGTATCATAGTTTCTGACCTAGAGAAGTCATCATTAGTGGAGAATGGGAAAAGATAGGGTCAATTGCCTATCATCTTTGCAAGCATGTTAGGGGTTGAGTAGATAGCTAGATGTTCATGGCCAGGGATTCAAAGAGAATATTGGAGCTAGAGAGACAAATTCTGGAGTCATTGTTATGGAGAAGAAGACAAAGGACTGGCAGAGAACTCCTATACTCATGGGTCAGAAGAAGAACAAAGACCAACAAAAGAAGCTGAGAAAGGGGTATTGAGGATCGGAGGGGAGCATGGTGCATTGGAAGCCAATGGCGACAATGTATTTAACAGGTGGCTTTAGGAAAGACAGGAATAATAGCTGGCCATTGTATTTCCATTGTGGGGTCCATTGATGACCTTCATGAGAATATCCTCAGTGGAGTTCATATATCAGGCAAATCCCTGATATATGAACATTCAAAAAGCACAGGAAGGGAATTGGAGATGTTGATATTGATAAGGATTGATAACACTTTGAGTAGCTTGGCTGAATGTGGAGGTAAAGAAATGACAAAGGGAGAAATATATGTAAATTTAACTAGTATTAGATCTATGGTCTAGGGCCCTATTTAAAAATGTCTCAACACATATGTATACATATGCTTATACAGATATATAGCATTTATATTTTATATTCACACATTTTAGGTATGCTATGTACAAATACACACTATGATCAAACTAATTAAATTCTGTGACTGTGTTTCTACCTTGGAGGGTTTTCTTTATCAGTGCAGTATTCAATATTTTCAATTCTGACTTATAGGTTTAAGAAGTTTGATGACAGATATCTTCGGAAGCTTTTGATTCGGGAAAACCAACCTAAGTCCAGCATTGTGTCCTTGTATAAGAAGCTTGAAATAAAACACGCCATCGAGATGGCAGAGACAGGGATGATAAGTACTGTCCCTTCTTTTGCATCTCTAAAGTAAGTATGGCTTTGAAAATTAAAGCTAGCCTTTTATTATCATAGTACTTTAATTTATAACTGTTACTAATTATATTGCTTATCAACCTACATTAATAGTCTTTTGAGAGCAGCCATAATAATATAAATTGATCTATGTCCTGGAGTTTTTACTTATTATCTCATAGTAGATGGAGAATTTTGTTAAAATGTACACGCCTCAGACTATGTATATTATGTTATGTTTTGTGTTATGCTATCTTGAAATGGACTAGTCAGAAAATACATGCACACTTAGGATGTTTATGCTTTATGACATTTCAATACCCCTCATCCAACACTGGGATTGGAATATTAGAAGGTGCATCACACTTGCTGCTATCCACATGCATGGAATAATGCAGCTGTGTTCTCACAGACTTTACACAGAGTCCTAGCTGAAGGCTTGGGGTTAGCGAACATCTCAACTGCGCATTACATAGAAACATTTGGGAAAAGTTAAAGAATGCAGATGCCTGATTCCAGGCCAGTTAAATGAAAATCTCTGGGGCTGACGCCCAGGAATAGGTATATCTGAAAGTTCCTGTGGACCCCGTGCATCCTCTGGAGTGTTTACTTTCACTGTGCAATTGAAAACAATCTTCCAGTCCAAAAAGTTCTTTAGCCAGGATGGAGACCCACTGATCTCATCTGTTTCCTTTAAGGAAAAGGAGGTAAAGACCCAGGCTGGTGAGGTGACTTCTCAAGTCCCTCAACAATCAGTGGAAGAAGCAACAATTGTGCAGCAATCAGCAGGGGGAGTTATTTCTTTGTGTAAACATCATTCCTTCTCTGTTTAGGACAGTGATAGGAATTATAGGCTCCTGCTGATTCTTCTACTGCTAATTATACAGGCTTGAAGCTCCTTTAAAGGAAATTTCAAGCAATTAAAATGTTACCTAGGGGAAGTTAAAGTGACAGATGAGAAAATGACACAAAATATCCAACTATAACCATGGTTTTTAACTAGGATTTGTAAGTCTCCTATAAAAACTATGGGAGTTAATATGATCCAGGATAACAAGAAGAAGAGGTCAGCATGGCAATATAGAAACAGCATTAGAAACAGCAGTGAGTTGAGCTGTTAGGTGTCTGTCTTAGAGCCTTGGACCCGTATGAGAGCCTCGAACTAGCTGTATGAGCTTAAGCTGGCCCATCTCTTTCTCTGAGTGTGAGTTTCTGTAACAGAGAAATGAGAGTAGGTTTAACTTGATTGGCAAAGTTTCTTTAAGCTTAAACATTTTCTCTGGTCTTTCTCATGCTTGTAGTCACATCAAGAAACAACTCTATTAACCAGTTTTCCCATTCTCAGATGAATGCAATCTCAGTGTTTCCCTGTGTTATAGTTCTTTTTGGAGGCAAGGAGAATGAAGTCAAAGGTTCAGGGTACTGCATTAAGTTAAGTTGGTCATCAATGGCACACTCTTGTAATCCTAGCTACTCAGGAGGCTGAGATCTGAGTATCATGGTTTGAAGCTAGCCAGGTAGGAAAGTACATGAGACCCTTAACTTCAATCAACCACTAAAATATTTGAAATGAAGCTACAGAAAAAGTGGTAGAGCATTAGCCTTGAGCAAAAAAAGCTCAGGGACAGCACCACCCAGGCCCTGAGTACAAACTTCAGGAACAGCATAAAGATAACACACACACACACACACACACACACACACACACACACACACACAATGTCTATGTTCATAGTTGTACAAATAGAGGGTATAATGACAATTCCACCTTTCCCAAAATAGTTTCTCTAAAAACAAAAATAGAAACAAAAGAGAAGGTCATTAGAAATTGTATTTTTTTGTTGTTGTTGTTGGTCTTGGGGCTTGAACTCTGGGCCTGGGCACTGTCCCTCAGCTCCTTAGCTCAAGGCTAGCATTCTACCACTTAAGCTACATGGCTCTTCCAGTTTGCTTGTGGGTTATTGGACATAAGAGTCTCACAGACATTCCTGCCTGGGCTGGCTTTAAACCATGATCCTCAGATCTCAGCGTACTGTGTAGCTAGGATTACAGGTGTGAGCTACTGGCACCCAGCAGACATTGTATTTCTGACATATGAACTGAATTGAGAAGAGGCTACAATCCATCTTCTAAACACAACTAGAAAATGGAGAAAATTTTGTTTAAAATGAAGAATACCAGGGCAGCGAGGAATTTCTTAGACAAGAGACGAGAACAGGGAAGACTGAAGAGATGAAATTGGCATTGAGGACCTAATTTTGCCTGGACCTCTCACTTAGTTACAGCCAGGTCCTAGAGTCTAAGAAGTAAATGGAAGTTTGACACATTGATTAACTTTGAAAAAAATGATTGAAATTCAGGACCTACCAAAAGTCAACTCTTGTGGCCAGTGGTTGGTTATTACCAGAGTCCTCAGCCTATGGCTGTCAAGGCCATTTCATATTCCTATTATACCAATACTAAATGCCTGAAAAAGTGAATTTAAATTCCATGTTGAAGAAAATAAGATTGTTAGGAGCCATAAAATTCCTTTCTGATTTTATATAACTAATGATTATAAAACAATAAAGTGTTTCAAATACATGAGTAAATAAGAAAATGTGACTTACAAATGGAAACAAATGAGAGGCCAAACAATTATATATGGTACAAAGGAATTCAGATAATTGCATTATCAGATAGACACTGATATTATGAGAGATCATTTTAATAAAAAAGAGATTTGAGCCGGTCAACCTGTGGCTCACATCTGTAAGACTAGTTACTCAGGAGGCTGAGATCTGAGGATCATGGTTTGAAACCATCCCAGGAAGAAAAGTCCATGAGACTCTTATCTTCAATAAACTACCCAGAAAAAGCTGGAAGTAGTCCTGTGGCTCAAGTGGTAGAGTGCTAGCCTTGAACACAATGAGACACAGGGACAGTGCCCAGGTGATGAGTTCAAGCCCAGGACTGGCAAAAAAAAAGAAAGAAAGAAAAAAGAAAGGGAGAGAAAGAAAGAAAGAAAGAAAGAAAGAAAGAAAGGAAGGAAGGAAGGAAGGAAGGAAGGAAGGAAGATAAAAAGGAAGAAAGAAAAAAAGGAAGAAAGAAAGAAAGGGAAGAGATCTGCAATGAAGTTATTTAGCTGAAATACATGAATTGATGGAATTTAGGATTGTCTGATTGGTATAACAGCAGAAGAACTCAACTGTTGAAGAGAGAATGGACCAACTTGAAAATAGATTAGAATGAAATGAAAGCACAAAGTGAAGCAAAGAGATTGAAATATGGCTAATGAAATAATGTATGGTGTTTGGTGAAAAAATGTTCAGGAGACACCAAGAGAGAAGCAGTCAGAATAAATATCTTAAGAAATAATGACTGAGAACTTCTCAAGATGATCAAAGACAAAAATTGTGACAAACATCAAGGAAACCTAAATACCTGATGCATAAAACAGCTGAATCCTAAAAGGGAAATATTAAACATCCCCAAGAGGAAACATGTATCTGTTTTCTTCAACATTAAAAAAAAAACACTACATGGTAATTGATTTTCAGCAAAAGCAGCAGGAATTAGGGGTATCTTCAAAATCTTGGAAGGATATAATTAGAAATGTAGTGTTTCATACCCTGTTAAAATATCTTTCAAAAGTAACTATTAAAAGTAGCTTCAAACAAATGAGAGGCATCGCCCTGAAATGAACATCAAGGAAATTCAATCAGAGTTCTCTTGCACAGCAGTTTAGAGAAAGAGGTAACATGATTGATGGTAAAGCTAAAGTATTTGGGAAAATCTAAATGAATGTTAGTTGTATTAAAGAACAATGACTGGGGATATTTAGTTGTCCATAAAAGTACAACACCAAGCCGGGCGCTGGTGGCTCACACCTGTCATCCTAGTTATTCAGGAAGCTGAGATCTGAGGATCTCAGTTCAAAGCCAGCCTGGGCATGAAAGTTCTTGAGACTTATTTCCAATAAACCACTCAGAAAACTGACGTGGCACTGTGGCTCATGTATAGAGTGTTAGCCTTGAGCTGAAGAGTTGAGGGACACTGCCCAGGCCCAGAGTTCAAGCCCCATGACCGACAAAAAAATAAAAAATAAAAACACCAATAATAACTTAATTGGGAGATATTGTGCCAAAATCTTTGTGTTCTCTTAAAAGCATGTAAATAGTAATTTATTTTTTGAACCTCTTAAGTTAATGATTAATGTTGTAACCCATAGTAAACACTAAGAAGAGTAGTTAAAGAAAAGTAAAATAGTGTAACTGATAAATTAACAAGAGAGAAAATTCAATAACAAAACAATATGTAAACTATAAATGTTTTCTTAATTTTCCATTTGTTTTACATCTTTGGCTGTGATTTCTTTCTTGTATGAGAGCATACTTTGTGTGAAGTACTTTAAAAATAACTTGTCTACCAGTAATTTAATTGATACTCATTATGTAATATTCTGGTATTATTATATGCTTGTTGTGGTAAAGGTTGTGAGAGATCTATATCTATATTGCATTACAGTGTTTCTGGCACACTGATTTGAAGTCATACATCTTCAAAAATAGAACATTCACCATTATTAATTATAATCATTTCCTTAAAGAGTACATCCTCTGATATCACTATAATTATACAAACATCCTGATAAATTTCTTATCCTTCTATTTGTAACCACCACATAGTATTAAGTATAAAATGGCTTCTATAGTTTATTCATTCTGATAATCAGTTCTTTCAATAGTAGTGTTTGAGAAATTTATACTTTTTTCTTTTCTTACAAATATCTTTGTCAGGTTTAGACTCAAAGTTAGACTCTTTTCACTTGATTGATGTGGTAATTTATCTTGCTTTTTAATGTCTGAAAGGATTAACTTAAATTCTGCATTATTTCCTACTTAAAGGTTAAATGAAGTCATATAGTCTTGAAGTTTTCAATTATAGACTTATTGGCTTTACAAATTTTCCATTCTTTGTGAATGTAATTTATTGTTTCTTTTGCAACTTCATGGCATGGCACTTAGATGATTGATTTTCAGCCCAGTGTTTTGTTTTGTTTTTCTAATAGTAGCATTTAAGGCTAAAATATTTCCTTTTTCACATTTCTTTAACACACATTTGGTGTGTTGTATTTTAACCACATTCTAATTCAAAGTATTTTTATTTCCACCATAACTTCTTATTTGACAGAGAGATCAAGAGTGGGCAAATACTGTAACAACATTCAGTGTAGAAATATATGAAAATGGAACCTGGGAATTTGAGAGGGAGGAGTGGATTGAAGAGATGGGGGGAGATTACAGAAGCAGTAACACTGATCAAGATACATTGCATTCAGTTCATGTTGAGCTGAAGAAACTCCAGTAGCCAGTGGCTGATACTTTTTATCCTAACTCCTCAGGAGGCTGAGCTCTGAGGACCACAGCTTGAAGATAGCTTGGGCAGGAAAGTCCAAGAGACTCTTATCTCAATAAACAACTCAGAAAAAGTCAGAAGTGGTACTGTGGCTCAAGTGGTACAGTGCCAACCTCGAGTGAAAATGTTGAGTTTATACCCCAGTAACTCCAAAACAAACAAACAAACAAAAGTGTTGCTCCTAGGGGTCATACTGAAGCTCACCGTGGCCTGCCTGTGTTTTGAGACAGAGTAGCTCCTTATCTTATTTCAGAGCCACTTTAAACAGTGTAGCTACTAATAAGCAGCATAAAAATGTGAGAACCATCTCACCAATCAAGTGTGAAAAGGGCATTATTTATAGAATGAAAACAAGAAGAAATAAAAAGTAGGATGTCACCCTATTCATCATTGGGGAAAATGTTTTGCCATTTGTTACATCTTGGAATGGCTGTCATGTGCTACAAGTATGGTGTGGGGTTGTCACCAGTAGAGCTACAAATATGGAATCTTTGGATAAAAAGGATTGACTGTCTTTGCACATATCTTATACATAGTGTGCTTGCAAATGTTTGGAATGGACTATTTAAAAAGATAAAATTCTTAGAAAATGCAGCTAATTAAATTTGTGTTGAAAAAACTTCTGTTATTTTATATAGTGTCAGAAATAGCCAGGTGATTATTGCTTTAATGTTCCTTCTTTAAAAAAAATAACAGCATGAGAAGCTACCTGTAATCCCAGTACTTCAGGTTGATTGAACTAAAGTATTGAAGTATTTAAAGTATTCAGTAACTTCCATGTACTAGTTATGTATTTATTTACTTACCCATTTTTACAACCCCCAGGGCTTGGTCTCAGGGTCTTGTACTTGCTTAGCTTGCCTGCTCATGTCTATCCTGGTTATTTTGGAGGTAGAATGTCATGGCTATTTGTGTGTGTGTGTGTGTGTGTGTGTGTGTGTGTGTGTGTGTGTGCGCGCGCGCGCGCATGCGCGTGCCCAGGATGGCTTCAAATTTTAAACTTTCAGATCTCAGTCTCCTGAGGAACTAGGATTTTAGGTATGAGGCACTGGTGTCGAGCTCAAGTGCTAGGTTTTTCTTTTCTTCTTCTTCTTCCATTATTGTCATTAATTTCCATACCTGTATAACCAAAGAACATATCCTAAACCTTTTAAAACATTTTCCTCACTTCAGTAACCAAGTTCTGCTGAACAGATTCCCCTTCTAATCCCCCACCCCGCCAAAGAAAAAATGGTCTGTGGCTCTAATATAGAAAAATCAATGAATGTAATATATGATGAAAGTTGAAATATTCTTTGTGTAAACTTTCACAGTGATTGCCGGGAAGAAAAAATAAGAAAGCTCACACCTGGTGAAATGGATGAAATTCGAGAAATCTTATCAAGGAATCTATATCAAATCCGCCAGCGGGTAAGAATCATTTCTTTCCCAAAGTATTTGTGTAAAAATACTTGGCTCAAAATATGCTTTAACTTTTTGTTATAGTTGTAGGTCCCATTGTTGTATTCACCTCAGTGGTCCCACCATACCAGCTGCCTTCTCTTCTCTCTGATCTTCGTTATTACACCCCATCTTATCATAACCCCCAGTCTGCCCTTCTCTCTAATTCCCCTTTTATTCATGCCTTATACAAATATAATTCCAAATGTGTCACACAACTAAGACAAATGAAATGAAATGTCATAAACTTTTTAGATGAGGACCTTGGATAAAAGATGAGTTTTTTAGTCCAACCCCAAAGTATAATTGACATAAGCAAAAAGCAATGAATCGGAATTCATGAAGTGTATTATTTCCTCCGTATTAATCAATATTGAAGGAAGGAAAATAAGATTCAGTCTTGGAGAATGTATGTGTGCATTACATATTTAGTCAAACACCTGTATCTAAAATGTCCAAGGAGCACTTGAAGTTACAGAAACAACAAATGTGTAGCACAACTTACAATTAGACCACAATTTTTTAATTTCATAAAATATTCAAGACATTTGCATGCTGCTTGCAGAAACTTCATTTTTGTTCTTTCTAAAAAATGCATTATGAATTTTGCCATCTCTGTTTCCCAGATGAGTGTCAGGGAGCTAAACTCTTCATGAAAAGGACAACATAGTTATAAAAATATGTAACTGAAGCTCAATATTAAAATTGTGTATTTTACCTCCTTTTATTGGCAGTACTCTCCTAAAGTCAAACAACAAAACAACAGTTTTGGTTTCCAGGATAAACTCATTCTGAATTGGGTGTCTATTTCCAAGCTCCCCATCACCCAACCTTATCTATACCTGCTTCACTCACTTTCCACAGATGCTTTCCATTCTTGAAGTTTATGGTCTTCTCCTTTTCTCTTCTCTCCTTTCCTCCTCTCCCCCTTTTTTCTGTCGCCTCCTCTTGTTTTCCTTGTCTTCTCCTTCTTTTCTCTCTCCACTTGCTTATGGTCCTGCTTCTTATCTCATGGGGCAGAGACTCCAATTGTTACTTTCTCTGAGCAATTACCATATTACACCCTCCACCCCAGCCCTGTCCTTTGGAACTTACATTACTTTGGAGTAACTTACATTAGCACTTTCATGCTTTTGCAGTATTTTCTTAGCCTAAGAGGTCCAATTTCGTAAGTAAACCTGCTCAAGGCAGAAATCAAATCTTATACTATGTAACCTTTGCATCTCTCTACAAGGACACAGCTTTCTGCCAGTTCTGTTAGGAAATAAACTTAATTACTACTTATGATTTATTTTGGGAAACACAATTTTATATAGTTTATTAACTTAATTACTAATTATGATTTATTTTAGGAAATAAGCTTAATTACTAATTTATAGTTTATTTTGGAAAATTCAATTTCTACATAATTTATACAATTAAAAATGATGACATGGACAGACCTCGTTTGGAAAGTGTTCTGGGATGTGATCATTGCCAGTGGTAACAGCAGCTGGTCAGTGTGAGAGTTCAGTGGAAAAAAGCACAAGTGTTGAAGTGATTTCAAGAGCAGGGCACCACCATGTGGCTCAGCATCGTTGGTGTGATATCAGTAATCCCAATTCAGATGAGAATGACCTATATTTTTTTCTGTCTACCAATAATGGGTAATGACCAGGACAAGGCAGTTTGAGGCAGGCAGAGCCTTGGATGGAGTTTAGTTATTTTACTCTTCTATAAAAATCACACTGATTTTTATGAAAGAATGCATTCTTTCAATATTTTGAAATGGTTCACCTGTTTTACTTTTGATTTCTTTTTTTTTTTAACTTTTGATGGTATTTATTTAGCCAACTCATTTATAGAATGAAACACTTGGCTCGGAAACATTGCTATGTCAATGGCAAAGCTGGAACCAGAATCCAGGCTCTTCAAACTGCTTTTAATTTTGTTTTGTTTTATTTTATGTGTTGCTCTGCATAGAGGTTATAAGTGCCACACAGAGGCACAAATCCAAAGAAACGCTGTCAAGTTTTAGAATTGAAGGGAAATGGTCAGTCTTTGGGTAAAGTATTACGTATGCATTTTTGTTCCAGACTTTGTCATACAACAGACACAATCTGACCACTGATACAAGTGAGCGGCAAGCCAAGGAGATTCTGATCCGTCGCCGGCACAGCTTGAGAGAAAGCATCAGGAAAGAGAACAGCTTGAATCGCGATCGCAGGGTGACTGCCTGGGATCTGGGGTGGGGGGGAGAGGGAGGAGGGGTGTAGGATGAAGAAGGTGTCCCAAGGGCAGGACCATAGCTGTTCTGCTGATCAGATGACACATCTGTCAGAATGGCTGCTGAAGATCCATTCCCAGAAACTCTGGGATGGAATATATAATAACGCCCTTTGGCCATGAGTGAAATATGATAGTTGAGTAGCTGTACTTTCAGCTCCTCAAAAAGCTGAGGGAGAAGATGACTACTTCATCCCACTAGCCCGGGCAACACAGAAGATCCATCTCAGAATTTAAAAAAAAATCACTGAAAGGGAGGGAAAGAAAGAAAAGAAACATAGACAAAGGAGGAAGAAGAAGAAAGAAGAGGAGGAAAAGGAGGAGGAGGATAGGGAGGGAAGAAAGAGAAAGTATAATAAAGTCCCTTCAGATGTTTCTCAAATACCTGCTACATTGTTGCCACTGCCATGGCCACATGGAAACCCTTGGTGAATAAAAGGAACAGATTTCTATTCTAGTAGTGGAGATAGGAACCAGCAAGAGGCTCTAAATTTACTTATTGTACTTAAAGGCAAAACGTATTATAGAGAATATAATAATAATAATAATAATAATAATAATAATAAATTATAAATATAGGCTCCTAAAGAAAGTTTGTAGCACAGGGAAGAGATAGTCAAATTACAATCTTTACCAGAATTGCTGGGCCAGGCTGTCTGGAAAATGAAGCAGCCATATATCTCATATTAGTGGCATATGTTCTGAGAAATGCTTTGCCTTTACACATTCTAGAGTATGCTCATATAAACTGAGAATCTTGGCGTCAGTAGTTAATATGATCTTATAGTACCACTGTCTTGTCAATTGGTCAGTCAGTATGTACAGGACTGCATTTGAGGTTTCCAATGTGAGGAAGCAGAGGGCCGAGGACTTAAGATGGGTGGGCATACCCATGTGTTCTCTGGGACCTACAAGAAGCACAGAGCACCTGGGGACAGAGGTGTTTGGATGTCCCTTTCTTCGGTAGTCCAGTTGAACTGGACATTGTCAGTAGGTAAAATGAGACAATGACTTACTGATTTAGTGTGGCAAATACTATATCTTTTAAAAAATATTATACTAGATATTGAGTCCCCAAGGTGAAAATGACCCTTTATGAACAAGGGGATTTATCTGTGTATGTGAGTGTGTTTGTTTGTGTGTGTGTGTGAGAGAGAGGCAGAGACAGAGACAGAGACAAAGAGACAGAGACAAAGAGACAGAAACAGAGAGACAGAGAGGTGGGGGCACATGCCAGTACTTGTGCTTGAACTCAGGGCCTAGCACTCTTGCTAATCTTTTCCAGCTAAAAGGTGGCCATACCTGCACTTTCATATTTATCTGTTTTACATGTAAAATGTACAACAGGTTCCATTAAAAATTACATGTAAAACCTAAAGATAGAATATTATCACTAAATTTACATTGTTCTATTATTTTCAAGATTTATTCAAGTAAATAAAACTTCAATAGGTTACACTTGTTTCTAAAATGAGATTTTTTTAGTCAAGATTTCATATAGATTCTAAATCTAAGTGACAACTTAGAAAGTGGGTTTTTGCATCTTCTTTTTAATGAGCCCATTCATTTTAGCTTCCTTCGTACTATTCTCCAATAGGGTTTTGGAAAGGACTTAGTTATTTCAATTACAATTGTCATAGCATCTCAGAAAGTAGCCAGTACTCAGCACCCAGACAGTGCCCAGGCCCAGAGTTCAAGCCCCACATCCAACAACAACAACAAAAAATCAATTATTAATACACGATAAATGGCATTCACGCAATCTGAATAAGGTATTTTTTTTAATTTTACAGGCTTCTACTTCAACCTCCCGATATTTATCTTTACCCAAAAACACAAAGCTTCCAGAAAAGCTACAAAAGAAAAAGATTATTTCCAATGCAGGTAATGAATACACTTTGGGCAGAAAAAAATTATATGCATTTACTAGTGCTTATAAAATAGGTAAATTTTATTCTTCATTAAGGTTGAGTTTAAAACTTACAAATCTAAAATTTTAGTAGAGTGATCTTTTTGCATTGTGTTCATTGTACATGAAAAACAATCTGCTTAGTTTTCACAATGTTTCATTGACATAGCAAAAGCAGACATTGTTGCGATGGAGTGTTGAGCAGGTGAGTAGTTATAAGACTAATATGTGCAAAATGTATGATCTAGCAATAACTCTCATCTATTTTTATAGAGATAATCATATGTTTTACTTCTGGCTGTAATTACTAAAGCTTTTCCTAAAGATCTAATGTTTCAATATTTGATAATCTCCATGTAGTTGCCCAAACTACTTTCTCAGAGTTCCAGGAGAACTCTGTTAGAATGCCATGTTACTGAAATATGGGATATAACACTAAAGTTCCTTAAAAACAAGCATTTTGGCTCACACCTATAATCCTAACCACTAAGGAGGCTGAGATCTGAGGATCATGGTTCGAAGCCCTCCTGGGCAAGAAAGTCTGTGAAACTCTTATCTCCAGTTAACTGCCAAAAAGCTGGAAGTTGAATTGTGGCTTAATTTGTAGACTTCCAGGCCTTTAGTGAAAAAGCTAAGGGACAGCACTCAGGTGAAGTCCAGTACTGGTGTTCACATGCACCAAGTTCCTTTACATTCTCTCTTGCTCACTGAATTAACAAAGAGGAAAGTCTGAGGTTGGCTGATGATGATAGAGAGCAAGGTGTAAAATGAGAAGGGAATGCAGAGAAAGACAACACTGAATATTCATCATTGTGAATTGTATTGCAGCCGTGTGTTCCGAAGTGCATTCTCACTGGTCACAAATCTAAGTCCTCATGAATTTCAACTTCACTACTTATAAACACCTCTGCTTAAAAAGTGTGTGTGTTGGTGGAGAGGGGTGGCTACCACAGGAGACTGAACCCAGGAGCCACTTGAGCATTGCTCAATCTTTTTGCTTTACTTTGTTTTTAGACAGGGTTTCAGCTTTTGCCTGGACTGGCCTTGAACCATTAGGCCCCTGCCTCTCCCTCCTGAGCAGCTGGGGTTACAGGCGTGAGCTGCCATACCTAGCTCTAGTAGCTCCTTTTGAAGCTAGTTACCACCTGAGCAAATTGGGTGTTTCAGAGGATTAAATGTGCTCACGCATTACTGAATGTCTGGCAGACAACATACTCTTCAGACAGCACGAATTCACTCGTGTGGACATGAATGCTCTCGGAAGCACCCTGAGATGCCCACAGTTGCTCAGCCCCAGGAAGAGTTGCTTGGCCCACGGTGGCACTGGAGCCATTTCTAAGAACTCCTCTTTATTTACAAGGACACTTAGCCAGTTGTCCCACTGTTCTTCCTTTGCTCTTTTTATAGATGGAAACAGCAGTGACTCAGACCCAGACTCCGGGACCACTGTGCTCAATTTACAACCTCGGGGCAGGCGCTTTTTGCCAGAACAGTTCTCCAAGAAAGCTCCCCAGTCCTATAAAATGGAATGGAAGAATGAGGTGGACGTGGGTTCTGGCCGAGGGCAGCCCAGCATCCCCCCAGCACCCCATAGCAAAGAAGGGGGCACGCAGACGCCGGGGGTCCTGCGGGAGCCCCTTCTCTCCAAAGACCGGTTTGGTCGGGGGAGGGAAGATAGTTTGACTGAAGATGTCCCACCCAAGCCCCCACCCAGGCTGGTCCGGAGGGCATCAGAGCCTGGAAACAGGAAAGGCCGATTTGGGGGTGAGAAGCCTTAATGGAAAAGCCCAAAAGCAGACTCGGGCTGACTGACACAGCAGCCACTTTGGTCGGGCACCTTAGAACCTGATGTCACGGTGAACTTCACTTAAAACCCTATCTAAATACTTTCATTGGGGGAAGTAAAGCCAAGCCATTGAATCACGGGATAAATGTGGATCCCACGAAGAGGAAAATCAAAAAGGAAATCCTACAAACATGTCTTGTGTCTCTCTTTCCTAGCAATTGTATTCTTTGCAGGCTTGAAGAAAAAAAAATAAGTGTGCCTTTAATGAACTTGAATGACAGAACTTGAAATTTTTAAAGACAACTTTGTTGGTGAAAATTTTAATATATTACCTTGATGCCTCAAATTTTATTTATGAAAAAAATTGTGTATCTCTTTACTGTTCAGTTTTTAAGTGGATGGGATTAAGAGTTCTGAGAACATCTTTCCAAAGGGTGATGCTCAAGTTCTAACATGTAGATCCTAAACTAAGGGTTGGGTTCTTTGTCCTGACTGGATTGACCAGTTGGTAAAGGGAAAACAACTTCAAATAGAGTGATCCTCTTACACATAGTAGGAACCCAGTAAGAATGGCCACAAGCAGAGGAACAGGACTGACCACAGAACATAGACTAGAAGTGCCTTTATGAAATAACAGGTGAGTTGATTATTTGATCCTTAATTTGAGGGTGACAGATAAGCCCCATTTCCCCTTCTTTATAGATAGTGCAAACAAAAAGGCTGTCCATGGCTGCTTTTTCAAGTCCCACCCATGAGGCCTTTGTGGCCAATGAGGAGAGAGGCCAGCACCTGCTTCTACTTTGGAGATTTTCTACGGTGCAATGCTGAGAGAAAGGGGCAGGCCATGCCCATCTATGGCCACCTGCTTTAATAGAATTCTTTATCTGTAAAACATTCTAGAACTTTTTTGTCCAAGGCAGAGGTCCCAAAAGCAGACCCACAATAGTTTATATAAACAGTATTAAAAATAAAGTTGGTGAGATTTCAGCCTTGGACTTTTGCTCAGGAAGCACTTTGGATAGTGGGAGTACTGTATTTTGCACTAATCAGTAATGTAGTGATTCAAATTCACCTTCTAAAATCAGGTTCTACTTATGGGATTACCTCTCAGCAGTATAGCAGAAAGAAAAGAAGTGGGACATAATTATTAAAGATTCATATTTAAATCTGTCTCTTAAATTGTAGATTTTATTGACTTTTTTTCTGAATATTCCCTCTTTAAAAATTGATGGAACAAGATTCTGTATTTTTGGATTTAGAGTTAGTGGTTCACTGCTTTCAGCTTGGAAACGTTTCGCCATCAGCAAAGATTGAAAGTGGTATTGCTGAGGAAAACACATATAAATTAGGCAAAAGACAGTCCTCAGCCAGTCCACCAGCACATCCGCCAGTCCCATCAATCTCCTTTCTTTTTCTAATATTCTAGTGTCTTGGAATACTTCCCCACAGCCTTGTTAAGGAAGAATGGACAAGATACAAGTTCATACAGATAGTTTATTTCCTGGCAATCCTTGATGGATGGAAAGTAGTGTACAACACAATTGGAAAACTACAAGCTCTGTGCCAAAAACTTCAATTTAAATGAAAACATTATATATATATGCATATACATATATAAAATAAAATTGATGTAGACATTTATCATAGAAATATAATTCATCCAACAGATGTGATCTGAAGGTTGAAGAATGTCATTAGGATGTATTTATTTATGGCACCTGAAAAGGAAGTCTAATTAATTTAAAAATAAATCTCTTGGGTTTCTATATTAATAAATCTTGGGCCTGAAGGAGAAAACCAGGAAATTTTAGTAGAATTTCTTGCTAAGCAGGTTACAACAAATTGTACTTTCCCTTAAGTGAAAAGTCACATAGAAAATTTGAAGAGTGTATAAATTTCTGGAAAGGAAAACCTAAGTCAACTTATTATCAACCCTAAGTTTTCTTACTTTTTTGGAAGCAACAGTAATAAAAATAAATTTGAATTTATCCTCTTCTTCTCTATACTTCCTTATTTTGGTAATTATTGAGTTTTAGTTACTAAGGAAAAAAAAACACATTAGAGGCGAAACTTGCCAATACAATAATATAAGAAAATTCTGTAATTTAGAAAGAGGCCTAGTCTTTTGTCAATGACTAATTTCATTCATTTCCCTCATACCTGTGGAATTTGGATAGTTCTTTTTACTGTAACTGCCTATTAGTGAGGAATCAATGAATCATATATACAATGCATGAGTGACATTGGGGAGAATTACATCAAAAACAAATGACATGCTGAGCGCTGGTGGCTCACGCCTGTAATCCTAGCTACTCAGGAGGCTGAGATCTGAGGCTAGCGGTTCAAAGCCAGCCCGGGCAGAAAGTCCGTGAGACTCTTTATCTCCAATAAACCACTAGAAAACCAGAAGTGGCGCTGTGGCTCAAGTGGTAGAGCGCTTGGTTGAGCTGAAGAGCACAGGGACAGCGCCCAGGCCCAGAATTCCAGCTCCAGGACTGACAAGAAAGAAAAAGAAAAAAAAAGAAAAAGAAAAGAAAAATGACAAATCTATACCCAAATCCAATAATTTTCAGTGTGCATTTTGTTTACTTACACCCACAATTTCTGGGATGAAATTTCATTCAGCTTTTTCTAAGCTTCTTAGTGGAGGGTGTTCTATTTTAATGGAATTCAGGATGTTCATAAGTATATGGAAGTGGATTATCACATCTCAGCCCAATTTACCTTTGTTGCATTGTCTACAAATGGTATTTATGTTAACACTAGTCCCTTAGGATTGATTATGAGAAGGTAGAAGTTTTGCCAATTCAAAGTACACACTGGACTTTATTATTTAAAAGATCATTTTGTCCAAATGAAGTCCCCATTGGTATCATCTGCTGAGGTCTGAACCCTATCAAGATGTAGATTCCACATCCCCTAGGGATAGCAAAACCTGCTGCTGTTCAAACTTCTTACATAAAACAACATAATGTCTACACATCATCTATACAATCCTCCCATATAAATAACAGCAATCCAGATGAGTTATAATACCTATGCTATGTAAATGTTATTTCAATACTAACTATTGTTCAGGAAAAAAAGACAAAAGAGTCTAGAGAGATGCATTCTTTGAGATACCTGTCACATCAGGTTGACTGGTTCTGTGGATACAGAATCTGAAAATATAAAGGGTGGGCTGTACACAGCCATGGCTGACTTGAAACAAGAAAGCTTATGACTCAAAACAGACTGATAAAGAGATCACTGTAAGAATGTATGGGCAAAACACCCATTTGGGTAGCTTTAGTAGTGTTGTGTTGGTATGTAACTTTTTTTAAAACCTCTTGTTTTCCTCTAATTTCTTTAAATTTTCCAATAAATTCTATTTTCTACCTCCAAGGATGGTCAATCAATTGTGGCCCAGATCTCTTAGGTACACAACCTGGTATGAGTTTTATTGTGTATAGTGTTAACCTACGTACAGTTTACTATCATATTTTCAGTCTAGACAGCAAAAGGATCACCTTTACCAGTTCAGAACCTATTTCAAGAATATTGAGTGAACCTGGTGCCGGTGGCTCATGCCTGTAATCCTAGCTACTCAGGAGGCTGAGATCTGAGGATCACGGTTCAAAGCCAGCCCAGGCAGCAAAGTCCGTGAGACTCTTATCTCCAGCAAACCAGTAGAAAACCGGAAGTGGCATCGTGGCTCAGTGCCCAGGCCCAGAGTTCAACCCCCACAACCACCCCTCCCCCAAAAAAGAACATAGAGCGAATCACAGAGATTCTCTGGGACTCTGTATATCTTCACACTGCAAGGTGTGAAACTGTTATTTCATGGGATACCTGGTACGTGGTATGCCAGATGCAGCAGTGGTGTTTTCTCTGGTTCTTCACTTGGGTGACAAAATACAATGAATCGAATATTCAAATGTTTTCCTCTTTATTTCAATAAATCCTGTTGCATTACAAGTATAACTGGAAACCATTTTCATGAGGCTCTTTGTATCTAGTTATGGATAACTCTCCTTGCCAAACAGGAAAACATTCTATGCATACTTTTATATGTATACATTGATAAAAGAAATGGAAATTTTTCCTGTTTCTACTTAACAAAGTTTAAATATACATCACTTGTAAACAATTGCTAGAGGGGAACTAATGGTAACTGTGTTTTCTTACAGGAAACAAATTAAAATGGAGCTTTTCTGGGGAAAATAGTCTTCAAAAACTTGAAATCTGAGAAAGTGCTTTGAAGTACAATGATTCATTGTAGCTATAATCTTTTAATTCTATTAGTGTCAAATATATTTATCTCAAATGAGGCTAGCAAACACCATAGCTATGTAACGGCACTTGATTAGCAAAACAAGCTACTGATCATTACTTTTTCTATGAAACTTGAGTCTTGTAAAGGGTTCTATTATGATGTGCGCTCTAAAATATTAATGTCCCAAAGCAGTCCAAAAAGAGTTAATGACAATTGTTATCTCACCAAATGACTTTTATATTATGTAGTGCTATGAATGAACCCACCAAATTTTAGGTTTTTACTAGTACATGTGAAAACCTGTATTCATAATACATGTTTACTAATAGTCATGTACATGTATTTGCTACCGCCATTGCCTTTCTTTACTGCTGGGCTTCTGTACATTACATATTAAGCCTTTTTCTTAGGAGAAAATGGAAATTTTGTTTTCAAAATGACTGCATTTTCAGGCTGTTAAAACCATGTTACATTAATTCAAAACTATTCATCAAAATGTATTTATTTAAACTGTATTTTTACAAACACGTGGCAAAAGAAACATTTATAAATATCTATTCTGAATAGGTATTATGAAAAACAAAGTAACAGCTCCATCTGCCTCTCTCCATGAATATATCAAATTCCCATAAAATTCTTCTTCAAAAACTAAATATTCAATTATGAGTGAAAGTCACCTTTTGGAATTTTGTATTATTCATTCCAAAGAGGATCTAATGAAAGCACACTGAACAAATCATTTTTCCTTGTCAATGATGTCACAGAGTGTCTGCCATAAGCTTGATTCTGTGATACCTAGGCCTGTGCTCTGGACTCCTAGAACAGACTACTAAGTACACAAGTGAATATGTGGCATTAGGAGAAAGGAATGCATTCTCAGCAACATACATTCAAGTTTCTACAAAAAAGCTCATTAAAATTCCTGCAGCCTAAATAAACAAACAGCAGGAACATAACTATTGGTGTTCATTTGGTTTTCTATAAATTTCAGATCAGTATGTTTTTAGGATGCTTTTTAAATTGAAGTTCCATTTGTACTTGTAATCCCCTGGCCTGTGTATTGTGGTACCATGAAGTGTAATATTTTCCATGTTTATAGATCAAAATTATTTATTTAGAAGAGAATGAGATATGAAATTCAGATTCATTACAATGAAACCTGATTTATTAGATGTCCTATTATAAATTTTAAGAATTTGTATTCAAAAATTGTATGTCAAGCATGTAATATGTCCACAGTAGTATCTAAAAAATGGTTCTGTAAAGTCACTCATAAGAATAAAAAGAAAAATAGTCCCATGAGAGCCAGATCGTAGTCATCAACAGAAGACATTGGCCACACTGGGTTAATTTTAGGTATTTCACATGGTTTTAATTTCATTAAGCCAGCTCAGGACAGGTGTAGGTAAGAAAGCTGGCTATTGAGTCTCAAGAACTTAACATGGAATATGGAAGTTCTCTTTTCAGTTGCAATTTCACTTTGCATAATTTCAGCTACTTCTGAGATTCGAAAATACTACATGGAAAAATATCAGACATAGACAATTCATGCGTTTAACATGTACAGCATTCTAGGTGGAGTGGTGAAACCTCCCACCATCCCAGTCTGTGCCCCTCAAAATGAGAGGCACAGATTCATCCAGTGTGTCCATAGTGACTCTGCTACCCATCTGCTAGGGACTTCAGAGTCATCTTGGCTATCAGATCAATTGCCAGAGTACTGAAGTGCCTGGTCTCAAGTAACCCTTATTTAACAAGGGTGCAATGGCACAAGACAATGGATGATGAAAATTCTGACATGTTGAAGGGCACCTGTAAAGTGCTTCTTGTGATAGTGGCTGGACATGTTTTGCAGGAAGAATTTTTATCAAGATGTTAGTATTACTACCAGTGAATGAGATGTTCCAGATGTCCTTGGTTATTGGGTTCAGTGCTTAAGAACACCGCCCCAGGTCTAGCAAAGAGATCCATAAAGAGTAGGAACACAATAATGAGCGATTTATAGAAAAGGTAAAGTACACCTGGAGGCAGACACGAGGTGGGCAATTGAGTCCACTATGTGAACAGGAACAGTACACCCCTCCAGCAGGTAGGAGAGCAGTTAGAGAAGTTCAAATGAATGTGGAAGCTGTCTTACAGGCTCAGAGGTTGTTTCCAATAGTGTGGGGTGACTGAGTGGAATTAAACTAAGGCCTTCCCCTGTAGCCCGCTCCATGTGGTTTAGGTACTGCACAATGTCTGCCCAGATGTTTGGGAAAGTTTACACCTGCACATTTGATCTTTATTATCCTCCCCAATTTAACCTTGAGTTGGGGAGTGGGATCTATGAGGGAGTAACCATCTTAATCATTGGCCCAGGGTGTGGACCATCTGGATGTTTAAAATGAAGTTTGACAGCTCAGAGCATTTCTTGTTCCTGCTCATGCCTACGGATCTTCCTATGTTAACAGTATAGTTTAAATCGGGACTAAGGAAAACACAATTCTCTGTTCAAACTTGATCCTTTCAGCTCACTTTTATGCTACAAAAATTACTAGTTAGTCAGATGCTGGTGGCTCATGCCTGGTGATCCTAGCTATTAAAGAGACTGAGATGTGGGGATTGTGGTTCAAAGCCAGCCTGGGTAGGAAAGTCCAAAAGACTCTTTATATCCAATTAATCATCAAAAAGCTGGAAGTGAAGCTGTGTCTCAAGTGATAGAAAGAGGTAGTCTTGAGTAAAATACCTCGGGACCAGCACCCAGGCCTTCAGTTCAAGCCCCAGGACCAGCACACAAAAATCTCTGATTTCTTACCAAGTATAGCTTCAGAAAAGCAGAACGTTTTATTATTGTCTTCATAGAAAGCTATTAGAAAATGTTCAATGAGTTTAAATTTTCTGTGAATAGGAAGCAATATAGTTTAAAATATAGTAATATTATTCAGAGTAGCTTTGAATCTGTGTAAGAAAGTTCTACTATGATGTTATCTCAAAATCATTCTATTTACTAGCTATCCATATAAATTTCAGATTATGTACTTATTTGATATTACCTTATAATGGGTATAAAAGCAAAATGATTCTTACTATTGATCTGTGCTTTAGCTTACATGGTTGTTAAGCATGCAGAATTAAATATGTATCAGGATACAAAAATGACTTAAAAATTTATTCAAATTGCTAGTTATACCTTTATTACTGAGAAAAAATTAGCATGCAACTTGGCAAGTTCTTCAGAAAAAAAAACAATAGGGAAGAATAAAATGTTGCTTTCTTTTTTCAGATTGTCACCATTTCAGTAAGAGCTGTGTCATTTTCAACCTTGGGGTATTCTGGAGTCATCTGTTTTAGAGACTGTTGAACAGTTATAGTGAAGTTAGCTATTGCCAGGATGCGATGTAAAGAACTACCCCAGTGGCTTTACCATGTACTCCAAATAAGCAGTGGGTCTCATATTCCAGCTGCCCAGCCACCTCCAGCATGCACAGCCCTCACCATCTCACATCCTGTAGGTTTCCGAATATCTCACACAAGTGTCCTCAGGAAGACACAGTACTCTGAGAGCTTCTCCAGAGACTGAGCGAGCTATGATCACCACCCACTCATGTTCTCTGCAGGTTAATAAGGGGCAGGGCAAAGGACACTGGACACTCATCAGACCTACTGGTGTCACCACAGCCCCTCCCAAAATCAAGGGAAAGCTTCCTCCTCTTCCCTTTCTGCTATTACTCATCCCTGCGTCCAACTTGTTTCCCAGGGCTCCCATGAATGGATCAAAGTCCAGACTGCTTATCCTTCCACCTCTAAATCCTCATTGCTGCAGCTGGAGGGTCTTCACATAACATGCATTTTCATTTTTCCCCTTAGCCTATTATGATCTCAGTCCCGAGCATGGTGAATGAACCCCTTCTGAAGGTAACCCAGTGATTGTCTACAGTGTGTGTACACAAACACCTAGGGCCCATGCTTCTGGTTCCTGAGCTCTTGGGCTTACAGGGTAGAGAACCAATGAATTCCAAGCTCCTTTAGTGTAACCCTTGCACACTTTATTGTCCAGGTCATCTAGCCTAGGTCTGGAGCCTTGCAGTGAGTCATTCCCATGGCCAGACACACCCTGTTGCCAGACTTTTACTCATCTTTTGGATGTCAGAACAAAGGATCCCTTTCTGCTCTGGGAAAAGCCATGTGTTTGAAACCTTGAACTCCCTGCTCTGTGCCACAGCACTTACAAACCATTCTGCTCAGCACTGTCACATGAAGGGTGATGCTGTTGGAAAGGATTGCTTTCACTTTCCTAAACATACTAAGCAAGCTAAGTTATATGAAGGTGTTTTTGACTAATATGACAGTTTCATGTAGCTCACCTTTGGAAAGGGTTATGGAAGTGACCCGAGTGAATTTAAAGAACAAAACAACACAGATATTAATAGAGCAGATTTAATTTCCCTGAGATCATTTATTCCACAGACAAAATAAATACCATTCATTAGGCTAGCAGTTCTCAAACTTTATGGCACCAGCAAATCAGCTATTCATCTTATTTAAATGGTCCTTAGCAGGCCTGTGCAGGCAAAGGCTTAAATGTCTGCACACATAACCAGCTCCCAGGCAATGTTGAAATTGCCAGTCCCTGGACCACCATGTGGCCAGTCAGAACTTAGTCATGTAGGAAGAAATGTAAAAAGATCTTCTTACATCACTAGTACATTATAACAAAAATGCTTCCTGAGTCTATATACTAAGATCTTTGGTTTTCCATATTTTTATATCTTATTAATAATAAATCCTCAGGTTTATAAGATTCATGTAACTTAAAACATAAAGAGCAATGATTTTAAAAATATAAGAAGGGTTGTTTAAGAACTTTTCAGAAAATCACACATTTCTGAGTGTGAAGGAAAGAGCACCTTTGGAGAAACTATTCTGAAATTTTACTCCAGTGCATGAATCTTTGATTATTTGCCATCCTTGACAGGCTAATTTCCCTGACATTCAGTGTTCCTTAAAAACAAGGTCATTTCACTTTTTTTTATCTTCAGAAGCACTTCACAATGAGTACAAGTTCCCAAATATAATTTGTACTGAAAATGTAATTATCTTTCTTGCCACCAAAGAGGAAAAAGGATGATCTCCTAAAACATATATACAAACTCAGCTGGCTCTCTAACATTTGAGCCATACCTTCAGCCTGGCTTTTTGCTGGTTATTTTGAGAATAGAGATTTTTTGGACTTTTCTGTTTAGATTGGCTTTGAACCATGATCCTGCAGATATCAGCCTACCAAATAGGTAAGATTATAGGTATGAGCCACTGCTGCCTAGTTAAAACACACTTTCACTTGCTACAACTATCTGAGTTGATCCTACAACATTCAAAACTTTGGAGATAGTTCTTCTGATTTATAAAAAATAATTCAAGTTATGACAAATTAATGCACAAAAACATCATTTATGATTCTGTGTGTTCAGCTGAAAAAATAATATTCTAGTGGACTAAATAAAAGTTAGAGGGAATGTAAGGAAAAGAGAGGACCTTAAGTAAGGTTTTATTAGCAATCAAAGTACTTGCATGTATAGGAGGTTTCCCAGGTCTTGAATCCCTATGAGCCCATGTATAGGAGGTTTCCCAGGTCTTGAATCCCTATGAGCCCGTGTAACCTTTCTACTGGGCCTCTCCCATGGGTCCTATTAGACAGTTTAGCAAGGAGTAAGAGGCATACCAAAACTCTTCCCCCACCATCCAAGATGATCTTCCTCATAAACAAAATTAAAATGAAAAAGATCAAAAAACTCTGTAGACTCAAGTCCTTCTATAATGGCTTCTCACTTGGCCCTTGTTCTGCTAAAAGTATTTAACTTAAAAATATTTCTGGACCTTGCATCATCAGAGATTATGGGCACTAGAACCACAGAATGCCAGACTTTTGGTTTCACAGCGAGCAGTGTTATGTCTTAACTGCAGAGGGAGCAGTTTGCAAGAAGATAGGCATCAGGCCCAAGAATGATCCCAAGAACCAAGAAAGAGTAACAAATTATGATTGAACATATGATTGTAACAGACAAATTCAGCTACTAATTAATAAAACTAGCCAAGCCTCTGGCTTTTATTTCCATCAAAATTACTAAATCTTGAAGTCTCTACTACTAAGTCTCTCTGGTACTTAAAACACCAGATTCGTTGGCCAGTGAATCACTGGCAGGGGACAGTGAGGCTGGTGTCTGATTTTTTTTTTTCACCAGCTCTGAGAAAGCTCCAGGCTGGTTTTAATAAATCAGCTTCATCAATCTCTAGGATTCTGACACGAGAATCCCTTTTCCCTTAGTTTTATGGGTTTAGCCATAAAAAAAAAATCAGCACATGATTGTACGCTATGCTATTATTTTAAACAACATTTTACTTCTTCTCTCCTTCTGCTTCTGCTTCTTCTGCTTCTATGCTATTATTTTAAACAACATTTTACTTCTTCTCTCCTTCTACATATCATGGCTTGTCATTCCACCATTTCTCTCTCTTTTTGATGGCAGCTTTCTTCCCTTTGGTGGCTCGGACAAGAGGAAGGGCCTTTTAGGTAAATCATAAATATGGTCCCTGCTAGTAAAGCTGCTCTAATTGTGACTTTTCTATGGGTCACTGTCACTGTTGATGGTCCCACAGGCATAACTGCACAGCTGAGGGCTGAGCACACCCTCCGGGGCACTGTTTCCACCCACTCTTTCTGAAATGCTCTTGTAGTTATGGCCTTTGTCCCTGATTTCCACACTTCCAACTTGGTTTCTTTATGCTGTCCCTATCCATCCTACTCATGCTTTAATTTACCACTCCTGTCACCACTACAGTGAGGTGTATTTAGTGACATTAAGAAAATTGCCACCATGGCTAAGACACCCCCTAGGATGGGGGGACCACAGGGGCTGACTACCTGGGCCACTCCTGAGAGAAGAGGAGCAATGATTCTGGCTACAGCTGTCACAGACTGCCCCAAGCCGATGACAGTGCCACTGGCCTGGGTGCCACTCATGCTCAACTGGAGATCGGTGACACAGGTCCTGCCGATGGTGGTGGAGAAAGACAGAAGCGTGGAGGAGAAGACAACCACAGCCATGGTGTGGGCCGTGGCGTAGAGTAGCAACAGCATACAGGTGAGAGTACTCGAGTGGAGCAGGACCCTGTGTGAGTTGTGCTTGTACAGACTCAGGATGGGCCCCAGGGTGAATCCAGCCAGAGCCCCCAGGGCGCTGCTATAACTGATGAGGTATCCTGTGGTCTTGGGCTGCACCCCAAAGCGATCTTCCAGGGCCAAGACATAGTTACTATAGTACAGCATGACTGCCACACCCATGAGCAAGCGCACGAGAAATATGTGCCACATTTCAGAAAACAGCAGACTCCGTATGTCCTGCAAGACTGACGGGACTTGAAGCCGGGGCTGCTTAGCAGGCTGTTCATTCTTGGTGGCCATTGGGATGGTGGCTGTTCCTTGTAATATCTTTCCCAACAGTGTGTGTTCCTTATTCATTCTCAGGCCATTCGTTGAACTGTTGAGTTTTGTTTCACTCCAAGGCAATAACCAAACGAGACCTGTTAAGATGGTACAAGACCTGTCAAAGTGGGCCAGAAGCTCTGAATTCCTAGATCACACAGGGGATCAAGCAGTTAGGTGCACAGACTACTAATCTGTATTTCTGCACATTTACTAATCTATGCTTTCTTTTTAGCTCAGTTTTTCCACCATTTCCACAGGTCTTCTATGACCTAACAAGCGCAGCAATGGATGGCTTTTACCTTTAAAATACCCAAACTATATATACAATACAATCACTTTCTCCTCAGCTCAAAATCTTGCAATGGTTTACTATAACCCACCACTTCATTATGAAACTCTGATAAATACATTTATGCTTGAATTCTTCATCAACTTTCTAATTCGCTACTGATCCATCATCTGCCCAATTATCTATCCATTCAACATCCATCATCTATCCAAACATTCACCATCCATCCATCCATTATCCATATATCATTCCATCCATTCATCCATTTCATCCATTATTTACAGAGTTCTTCTTAAGAGCCAAGCTCTGTATTAAACACTAGGAATACATTAACAAAGAAGACAAAGAGTCTTGTCTTACACAAGTCCTGTCCCAAGAAAAAATGAATATAAAAGAAGTCCAAACAAGTAAATAGTCATTGGATTACAGTGAAATGGCCATGTTGGAGGAGGCATGAGCTGCTATATGTAGCCTTGGCTTGGGAGTAGACAGGGACCTTGCTAGCATTGACCATCAATAATTAACACCTGCTTGGACTCTCCCTTCATCAGGACTACAGGGGACACTGTTCTCACAAATCATGACTGCTAGCCTCAATGAAGCAGGTTTGACCACCACCCAGATAAATCCCACCCCTACTCAACCCCCATGATTGAAATGTTCTGTCTCTGCTATATTTGTTCTATGTCATGGTTATTCAATTGTGTGTCATATTATTTTCAGCAACCTCATTTGTGTAGGTGGTTTTTCCAAATATTGTATAAGAGTATCAAACCAGGAGCTGGTGGCTCATGCCTGTAATCCTAGCTACTCAAGAGGCTGAGATCTGAGGATTACAGTTCAAAGCCAGCCCAGCAGGGAAGTCCATGAGACTCTTATCTCCAATTTACCACCAGAAAACCATAAGTGGCGCTGTGGCTCAAGTGGTAGAGTGCTTGCCTTAAGCTAAAGAGCTGAGGGACAGTGCCCAGGTCCAGAGTTCAAGCCCCACGACTGACGAAAAATTAAAAAAAAAAAAAAGAGTGTCAGTCACAAACAAGTTTATGACAGAAAACTGACCCAAACAGAATACAGATGTGAATGTTTTACCTGTCCATATTTTCAAAAGGGTCCTTGGATACTTTACAGAATCTTGAGGAGGTTGTGGCTCACGCCTGTAATCCTAGTTACCCAAGAGGCTTAGCTCTGAGGATTTCGGGTCAAAGCCAGCCCGGGCAGAAAAGTCCTGGTGAGACTCTTAACTCCTAAACTAACCACTCAAAAATCAGAAGTGGCATTGTGGCTCAAAGTGGTAGAATGATAGCCTTGAGCAAAAGAGCTTGGGGACAGTGCCCAGGCACTGAGTTCAAGCTCCACAACTGACAATGATAACAACAACAACAACAACAACAAAAACAATGGAAAAATGGTTGCTGATGGGATAAAAATCAAGAGTAGTAGATGGTGCCAGTAAATACCAGCTACTATCCTGTGAGTGCTCATGGCACTCAGGTAAACTGCTTATTATTTAACGTTCTTCCAGTTTATTGTTGCTGTGCTATTGTTACTGGCTTTTATTTTGCTTTATTTATTTTTTTGCTTTGTAGTGCTGGGAATAGAACTGAGGACCTTGTGAATTCTAGGCAAGTATTCTATGACTGAGCTATACACTCAGTTCTCTTCTGGCTCTCATGACAGGGCTATGAATTATTTTGTTACCCTATATTAGGGATAAAAATGAGCAAAGTAAGAACTGAACTTCAGTCTGTAAGATCCTCAAGTTTGCATTCTTAACCAGAAGGTCAGAACTTAAAAGAGAAAAATGATGTGAAAAAGCTTTCTCAAGCAAAGTGGCAGATCAGAGCAAAGATATGAAAGCTGACAGAGTCAGGGGACCAAGGAAAACAGTGGTGGTCACTGGGGAGGAAAAGATGTCAAACTAGAAGGAGTAAACAGCTTTGCATTCTATTGGCTGCACGAGGTGGCAGCCTCTGAGCTCATCTGAGGTCTAGCCCTGAACAGTTGAAGCCTGCCTCCATCTAGATTTCTTAAGAGGAAAAAGTAAATCCCTATTACTTTCAGCCATTGGAGTGGGGAACACCAACAACTATTCAGGAGTGGATTACTAAGAGACAACATCTACTCAAAGGCTTGAGGTAGGGCAAATATTAAGCAGCACTATCCCAGAAAATCAAAACTACTGTAGAACTCCATAGTAATTGTTTGCTGATATGTTCATTTTCACCTTTCAGTGATGTCCCATTCACATGCCATTCTTTTTATGTGAAGATACTGGCTGCACCCATTGATCCTGTGTTTGAAGTGATTTTATCTAGATTTTATTCCCATACATCAGGCTTGCTTTTTTGACTGAGGTTATACTTGAAGAAAATTATAATGAGATCCAATGAAAACAGAGATTAAACTCATAAATTTTACTTCCTGAATCTGATATCCTAACACAACATGAAATTCACTGTTCAACATCATGTCTTCAATTTGAAGAGTCCAAGTTGCAGTGAAGTAGAATTAAGTATACAGCTGAACAGTATGAGTTTTTCTGTTTACAAAGTTATTTACCCAAGGATTGGCCGTGCATAGTCCTCTGTGCAAAGAGGAAGAAATGGGCTTTGACCACCTGGCCTGAATCCAAGAAGCCCACAGCTCAGAAGGTATTCTTTCATTCATTGAGTAGTATGGACCACCTGCTATGGGTCTGGCCTATTCTGTGCAGATCTGGCAAAATCAGATAGCTTATTCTGCGTGTGTATGCTTACTCTGTGTGTGTGTGTGTGTGTGTGTGTGTGTGTGCGCATGCGATTATATGTAGAGCAGGGAGACCAAATAGAATAATTAGAGATAAGAGTCTTACAAAGTAAGATAATAAAATTTCAGAAGTTGGGGCTGGGAAGGTGGCTCAGTGGTAGAGCACTTGCCTTGCATGCCTGAGGCCCTGGGTTCAATTCCTCAGCACCACATAAGCAAAAAGAAAAAAACTGGAGGTGGTGCTGTGGTTCAAGTGGTAGAGCGCTAGCCTTGAGCTGAGGAGCTGAGGGACAGCGCCCAGGCCCAGAGTTCAGGCCCCACAACCAGACCCAAAAAAAAAAAAAATTTCAGAAGTACTGTAAAAAAGTGAACTATTTTAGGCTGAATGATCAGAGAGAGGATAGGAAGCAAATTTGAGAATTGAATGATGGGAAATCAGTGAGCCAGTGCAGGCAGAGAAATGAGCCAGTATAATGCCATCTTTGAAAGTCAGCCTGGCATATGTGAGGCAGACCAGGAAGGCACTTGGCAGAGTGGAGAGTGGGTGGAGCCTTCCATCCCCTTGTGGTGGCATGACATTTGTCTTTTGCCAGGATGGGAAGCCACTGCAGAGTCTGTGTCAGGGTGGTATAGTCTTTTGTTGTTGTTACATCATTATATATAACATTATATATATATATGTATATATATACATTATTATATATATAACATGATTAAAATTTTCAAGCAACACTTTAATAACAAAAGCAGCTCTTTTCATTTAAATTATAGCTGAGAATATACATCATGATGAAGCACAGTCTTACTTTAGACCATATAAAAAATAAACTCACAATAGATTAAATGCCAACACAAACCCTAAGACTGTAAAACTTCTAAAAGAATAAAGGAAGAAAGAAATTTAAAGTTAGCCTTCACAATGAGTTCTTAGATAGGAGAGTCAACACACAGATAACAAAAGCATAAACAGATATAAGAAGTCCACCAAATTTAAAAGCTACTGTGCAGCAAAGGAAATCATCACTGAAATGAAAAAGCAGTGTTTGAATGGGAGTTATTTGTAAATCTAATACCTAATAATTAATATCCAAAATATGCAGATAGTCCCACACATCAATAACAAAAAAAACCCCAAACAAACAAAAAAGAAAGCAAACAAAAACATGTGCAAGACTAGAATAGAGTCAAAAGGTGTATTGAACCTCACTAAGAATCAAGAAAATACAAGTTAAAACACAATCAATCACATGTTACCTCTCATCCTTGTTAGAAAGGTTCTTATTTTAAAACAAAATATGTAAGTGATAGTGAGGATGGAGAGGGAAGACAGCCCTGGCATAGAACTGTAGGAAATAAAAACTGGTTCAGCAACTTTGGAGAACACCAGAAAAGTGTGTGGGGGGAGGGGAGGGGACACTTGAACTCAGGGACTGAGCACTGTCTGTGAGCTCTTTTGCTCAAGGCTAGTGGCCTGCCACTTGAGCCATAGCTCTACTTCTAGCTTTTTGGTGGCTAATTGGGGATAAAAGTCTTACAAGCTTTCCTGTCCAGGCTGGCTTGCAATTGAGACCCTTAGATCTCAACCTCCTGAAGAGTGAGGACTATAGGTGTAAGCTACCCATACCTGGCTGACTTTCTTGATCAATGAATCTGTCTCCTTATAGGTAGATTAGTCATGCTTAAATGTCAACTTACCAGCATTGAGAAGGAAGACTGAGAAACAGGTGAAGGCTGTAAGATAGAATCCACCATCTAATTCAGTGAGATATCCACCAACCATGGGGCCCAAGATGAAGCCCATGCTAGAAGCTGTATTGAACTGCCCCAGCACAAGTGGCCGCTCCTTCTCTGCAACCAGATCAGAAAGGAGAGCCCTGGAGATGGAGAGTGTGTGTTTAAAAATCCCTGCAAAGGAAAAAGAAACAGAGTCTGTAACTTCTTCCGCAGCAAAAGGACCTCCCTTGTGATCCTCACTGTCCTAGAGGGAGCTCTGACCTACATTTTCTTTGAACCACTAAAGACTGAAGAACCTACCCCCACTGTAACTGGACTCTTGGGCTAGTGTCAGAGCCATGCTAGGTCACCTTGTATGTACTAGCATGTCCGGAATCTTGCAGCCTGCCTGCCTCTTGTCAAGATACTCTCTGTCACTCAGCTGCAATCATGATAGCTTCTCCGTAGATACGAGTTATTGTTCTTTATCCACTCACTTGATGAACAGCATGTCTACTGTACATCTAACATTGACAGTGAACTTAGGGTAAAAGCAACAAACTAAGGTCAAGAAAGCAAAAAGTAAAAACCAACCCAAGACAGCTATGCCTGCCTTCACACAGCCTTAGTTTTCATTTGGGGTAAATATAGAGTATATATTAGAAGGTGATAAGAGCTATGGGGAGAAATAGAGCAGGTAAGAGGACAGGGCATGGGCAGAATCACTCGACCCATACCAACTGCTTTCTAATTGAAAGATGCTCACAGATTTGTTGAACAAACTGCCTGAGAGCCGTGGCTTGCTTTTGTAGTATTCCTGGTTCCTGGGGATGTGTTTGACCACCCCCTCCAATACCCAGACACCCAGTTAGGGGATACATATGTTTGTATAAAGTTGGTAGACTATGGAAACAGGCTGTTTGTGAGCAAGAATTCGACACAAGCTGAACTGGGATGTACTACAGTGGCTATTGCACCCATTCTTATAAACAACAGCACACTGCACAGCACGGCGCTGCATGTCTTGCTCTGCCAAATTACTCCTGGGTCTCTTCCTAGCTCTGTCTAAAAACTAGTGTGCATTTGCCAGATAGCCAAACTCTTTTAGAATTAGGAAGAATCACTCACTCTTCCTAGATGTGTTTGCTTAAATATGAGAAAGGGCCAGGCTGGAAGATGATTCCCCAGGGGTCTTACAGGAACAGTGTGATTTTTCTTTGACACATCTATGTGGGATTCACCTTATACATGCTGGGAAAGAAGACCATGGAAAGAGTAGCCTGTGAACAGCCTAGATGAGAATTCTTATCATTTAACAGGTTGTACGTGCAAAACCAGCTTAGGCGCAGTCCAAGTCAGGGACAGAGGATCAGAATTTACAACGGAGTTTGCACAGCAGAATCCTAGAACTACTCCAGACTCCATCTTGTTCATGACCTCCAAACATCATGAAGGTCACATGGGCTAGGAGGCAATTTTATGTATAGCTCCCCCTGTTGGCACAGGCCAGGATATCCATATGACAGAACTATTACCCCTTAGACTAGACTCATTTCACACTAAACAAAAACAGTTTAATGATTCCCATCTATCTCTACCCATTTTGTAACAAAGCTATGTTCTCATTCATCTCCCTCATCAGTTTTCTATGGAATTAGGAAAAGTATATACCACTGATGATGGGGTATAGGAGGTTAGTACTACAGAAAAATACATCGCCAGCCAAATCAGAAACACATTCTACATCCAATATCAGAGGTGCATGGAATGCTATTAATTGTAGATCATACATGGTAATGGTAATAGAGTTTGTTAGGATCATTAGGTACATTTAAGCCAAGACTCTGTAGAGCATTTTTAGTCAACATAAAAACATACAATATGGATTTTGGCAGGTGAATGCAACGGATTTTCAGGGTAAATATACATGTCATAAATATGGTATGAAAATTTCAAATGAGCAGTTCACTGATGGTATGTTAAATGATTTAGCATGAATCTACATTTATGAGTGGTGTTAATTTAGAACAAACAGTTTAACTGAATATGGGCTGTTATCCAGTGCTGTAGACTTGTGGATCACGGTAGCAAAGTCTGTCCATACTCTAATAGGTAAAAAAAGAAACACTGAAAAGTATTGCTTAAAAAAATACAAGGTGTTTTTTTTTCCTTTCATGCAATTGTTTCTAACATATTTATAAGATGATTTCTATGTTGCTTTGTATGTGCCTCCCCCACAGTATAACCCCTGCTTTCACTGTATTTGATGTTGGTATAATTTGTGGAGGGGAAGGGAAAAAACAAATTGTTTAACTAGGGATACAGGTGGACCCATTGCAACAATGAGATGTACAAGTCGTTATGTCGAAAAATGAACTTTACAACTTTGGTGGGGGACGGGGGGAGAATTGGGTGGGGGGGGAGTAAGGGAAGGGATGGGAAGGGGAAACAAAAAGTAGGCAACAATGCTTGATAAGAAATGTACTCATTACCTTGCCCATGTAATTGTAACTCCTCTGTACGGTATTCTCACAATTTAAAAAAAAATACAAGGAGGGAATAAAAGCTATCCACCCATCGGATACCTAAGGGTGCTATTTCCAACAATAGGAAAACTCTTTCAGTAAATGCAAAGAAAAACAAAAAAAAAATGAGTTAAAATGTTATAAATAGTCAAGCTGAACAGAAAACCAATTCATTAACTGTTCTATTGTAACTTTAGATTCTCCCTTCCCCTAACCAGCAGCCAGATTTCCAGAACACTACAAGAAAGCTAATGGCTACAAGAAAGTTTATAACATGAAGCCCTGTTATAAAAACTAAAAGGTCACAGAGAAGGCCTGCTAATCATAGTCCTGGCCAGACATATAAAACATTCTTTCAATCTGAGTGAAAAGTCAGAGGATGACTTGTCACCGTGGTAACAAGTGTTGGACACTGACAGTCTTTGGGGGATTCTGGACTCTGTCAAGTTCAAGGTTTGTAGCTTTAAACAAGTCAGCAGAGTATCTGTCAATGCTAAGAACTATACTGCATTCGGTGTGGCCATCTTTATACTTCTGTATGTAAGGTCTCATCAGAAAGGCCATGTCAAGCAGGGATAGGTTTATGTGTAGAATGAGAGGTTTATTTTCAATGAAAACACACACACACACACACACACACACACACACACACACACACACACACACAGCACAGAACTTACCCACAGGGACTCTAGCCAGGGCAAGCAGGAAGACATTGGTAGAAACTCCAAGAAGAAGATACCCCAGGGCACTGAACAAAATGCACACCAACAAGGAGACTCGTCTTCCAACTACATCACTCCAGCAGCCCTGAAATAAATAAGAAACAGAAACCTGCAATGACCACCACCATGTGAGTGCCCAATGCAGCATGACTCAGTGAAAAATGCCAGGAAATCTAATGTAGGATCCTTAGATGGTTGAATGTTGCACCAACTGCCAGAGAAGTTACTTTCTCTGATCATCCCACAATGTGAGTGGGAGAATCACATTGTTATCTCTGTCTCCAAAACAAAACCTGATGATCTGGTAGCTCAGAATTAGATGGAGAGACCCAAGATCTAGATGAGATATAAAGTATCAGGTTTTTCTTTATTACCATTGTATATAACTAAAGTCAGAAACTATGTTTGTTGTTGAGAAATTCAGAAAATAATAAAAAACAAAATGAAGAATTTAAAAAAGCACCTCATGATCCTAAACTTTCACACTGGATATTTTAAAAAAACAGTCATCTAATACTGTTTTGTTTTTTAAAAAACTTGCTTTTTACTTACCAGTATAATTTCAATATGACTGTTTTTCTGTTTTTACCATTTTTTAAATCATATCTCATGTTCTAATAATTAGAATCTATATATTTTAGGTTTTTGGGGGTTCTTTTCAATTTGTCAAAAGCATAAATAATGCCATAATAAGTACCCTCACAGCCAACTTCCTGTGAATGTCCTTGAACAAGCCCTAAAATAAAGTGGGAATACTGGAACTTTTTGCTCCAAAGATAGGCATATTCATGCATTGGCATGCACTGATGGTATTACTTTCTAGAAAGATCTACAATCCCATAGCAGTGTAACTCAGTCTGTTTCTATACATTCTAATATTGAACACATCTGCAAAAAAATCCACAAGTTTGTTAAGTGGAATGTATTAAACTAATTATTAGTTAATTATTTTGGCCTTACTGAGGTTTTAAAGTCTGCTATGCAGAAACTCTGGAGTGGTATGCTTTTCACATGTTAATCTGTGCACACTACTCAAATTTTATCCAGAGCAGCAAGCAGCCTGATGGACCTGACAGTTGTAATGCCTGTACCTGGGAGTCTGACCTGGCACAGACTCCCTTCTACATCATTCCTTCATCAAATCAGGATTGGTGAGACCGCGGTGGGTCAGAATGAAACTTGCTCTGCAAGGAAGGCTACCTCTCAGTGGTACCCACTAGGCAGGGAGACAAAAGCAGAGTCCACTGGAAGCAGAAGCTGAGAAGCACCTAAGGGAAGAACGAAGCAAGCAGGGTGCATGTGGAAGACAGAGGGCACAAAGAGGTGAAGGTGTGCTGCCTGGAGTCCTGACATGCCCCAGGGTGGGTAACAAGATACTGTTGGGATGGAAGACAACAAGGGAGCAGGCCCCCAGCCCACTCTTGCAGCTTACTCTTTACTAAGATATTCTCCACATCTGATAGCAGCACACTCAGGTGAGACAAAAACAAGCTTTGTTTAAATGCTGAAAATGAGACCTAGGAGTACAGGAAGCCACCAGGTGAGCATCTGAGAATATCCTTTAGAGGGTGGGCTATGGTGGCTAAGTCAGCCTTTTTCTCCTCCTCATTCCCTTCTTCCTGATGAGAACTCCCCAGGACGCTAGATATTAGACAGCCAAGAGGATAGATAACCGGGGCCTAGTCTTCTTGTGGCAACTCAGAATAGTCTTGGGTGTGGCAAACTTCACTTTTTCTAATTACTCCTGGAAGGTGTTTTGTTACCATTATTTCCAGCTCAACCGGAGAACCTTCACCTTGACCCACTTTACATACTGAAGTTCAAAGTGAAGCTTTGTTCGAAGAAAGTGTAATTGTTTTAAAACAAAGCCTGTTCATTATTATAACAGCAATGAAGCACTGTCTGAAAAGAGTCAAGGACAAGGTCATTGGTGCTGTATGACCTTTGATAACTCACAGCTCCTAAGCGAAGTGTTGGTCTCAGTTCTGGCTGAGACTTTGTCTGGGAAGTGACTGAGGCCACCTCCCATTCTCTTCCTGTCTCAGTGAAAAGCCACATTTCCCTACACTTTCCAACTTACCATGGAAACTCTGCCTGCCCGGCCTTCCTTGCTAATAACCAACCATACTTGTTCATGTCCATTCTTAATTGTTGCTGGTATGTATTTTCTTAGGGATCTAAAAGCTCTCCCTACATAAGGATAAAAGCTGTCACTTTCTCAAGTTCTTTTATAAGTTGTTCTGAAGGTAAAATTTTCCAAAATATGGTTATCCTTCTACAAATCATTATTGCTTGCCCAAATTTCCATTTCAGTAGATTTTAGAAGCACCCCTCTTCCCCATCTTTCTCAGTTCAGCATCTTTGGGCTTTTAGTTACTAGTCTTCACCACACAGTGGAATAACACGGTAGTCATGCTCTGGGCCCTGAGCCAAGCTGAATTCAACTCTGAACACCAGTCATCCAATATGCCAACACGACCTAAACGTAGTCATCCACCTCTCTAAGCTTCAGTTTGCCTATCTATAAAATGGGAATTCTATCTGCCTCAGATTAGACTCCCCCTCAATATTTGATGCCTAAGGGGGTCAAAACCAGGTGTCAATACACCAGAGAGTACAGTAAATGACTCTTTTAAAAGATCTATAACCACCCTGACACTGGTTACTATGAGGAATAAGTGATGTAAGCACTCAGAACAGGACCTGAAATACAATAAGCACTTCATAACACTAATCATTTTTATGAAAATACATATACTTTGAAAAAAATTAACCAAAGTTATCAAAACAGGTTCTTACAAAACTTGGAATAAATAAAAGATGTATTTAGCTAGAGAGGGAATATTAATTAGGTATTTTTTTCTATCTGAAGAATTTCTAGGGGAACTTTTCATTAAACTCCAGCTGTAAGATATATGAAACAGGTTGTAAGCAAAACAAACAAACTATAGAAAGGAACAATTTGAGAACAAGAGTAAAGTCAGAGTTTGCAATAAAAATTCACATTCAGGGGCTGGGAAGGTGGTTCAGTGGTAGAGCGCTTGCCTTGCATGCCTGAGGCCCTGGGTTCGATTCTTCAGCACCACATAAGCAAAAAGAAAAAAGCCGGAAGTGGCGCTGTGGCTCAAGTGGTAGAGTGCTAGCCTTGAGCTGAAGAGCTGAGGGACAGCGCCCAGGCCCAGAGTTCAGGCCCCACGACCGGACCCCCCCCCAAAAAATTCACATTCATAAAATGCCCATCATATAGTAGTGACAGAAATCAATCAATCAGTCATGCCTAGCTTTTATCTAAGGAGTCCAGGGTCCAGAGGGAGGTCAGAAAAGTCCTGCATGATCAACATGCACTCTGGCCTACATGTAATATATACATCAACCACTCAGAGAGTGTGTTTCAAATGAAACAGAAAAGGTCTTTGCTGAGACACAGTCCACATCATTTTCCCAAGTATATGAAAGACACATTCTGCTAGTAAGTGTAGTTCTTTTCAGTTTAACTGGACTTTAGTCATCCATATATATATATATATATATATATATATATATATATATATATACATATATGGTTAGGAGGGTACTGAGGATTGAACCCAGGATCTCATGTACACACTCCACCACTAAGTCACACCTTCAATGCTTCTTATACCAATAAAGCAATGGCAGATGGCTTTTAGAAAAAACAAACAAAAAAAACCCCAACAAAACATGGATCGGGGTCTGGATGTAGAGATTAGGTGACTTAGTCAAATTATTTAAACTCCATGAAACAGAAATAATTCTTCCTAGACGAAAAATAAATACAAAGTTTCAGTGAGACAAAAATTGGGATTATTATGCAAGTATAATATCTTAAAGACTTTAAAAAAGCTAAAGGAGTACCTATTTGTTCATTTAAGAGTTCATTGTGTAGAATCAGTGGAAATTCTTTTAAAAGAGGGGACAGGATGAAGGAGAGTGATGGAGGCTATGATAAATATATATATAATATACATTTACTTATATATATATATATTTTATATACAGGAATTTACATAAATATAAATGCCACAATAAAATTCCCTATACAATTAACACATTAATTAAAAAGATTGCATTATTGAATCTGAATTTCTTTTTACAAATATATTTTATAAGGTAGCAATTCCAGGAAAATACAGGTATGGAATATCTACATTATAGTCACTGAACGTGAAGCTGCCCAGAAATTATGTAGACCAGTCACCCATCATTAATCTTTGACAGCAGATGGACACTCCTACTGAGATGCTCTGACTCCTGGTCACTGAGGTTTCAAGACCAGAGCGGCCACAGGAGACTGTGAAAGGAATAGAGAAGAGCAGTTGAAGGTCTCTCAGTTTCAAGTGGACAGAAGTAGTGAGTGGCCAGATCCTTGGACCTATCTACTCCATGCTATAAATATACAATCGACCAACAGACCACTCCAACGGTCCATCTATTCATATAAGTCTGATAAATAAGAAAGCATTTAGTTCAAGATGCAGAACACCACCCAGAATCTTAGAAATGTAAATGGATAAAATCATCACCAATTAAGTTAAACAAATAATAAAACCAGTAGTATATTTTATTCCTACTTTTTTCTCTCTCCAGTACAAAGGAAGAGTATGTCACAATTTAAAACTTATTCTCTCCAGGTGTTAGTGGCTTATGCCTGTAATCCTAGTTACCCAGGAGGCTGATGTCTGAGGATCATGGTTGGAAGGCAGGAAAGTCCATGAGAGTCTTATTTCCAAACACCAAAAAGCCAGAAGTATAGGTGTGGCTCAAGTGGTAGAGTACCAGCCTTGAGCAGAAAAACAAAATGAGAGTTGAAGGCCCACGGTTCAAACTTTAGTACTAGTGCATGCACCCGCACATGTGCATGCGCATGCACGCGCGCGCGCACACACACACACACACACACACACACAAATTGCTCTCATCCAAGATCTAACAGTGACTCAGTGAGCTGCCCTCAGAACAAGACACTGAACAAAAAAAGACAGGATATTTCACTTGATCTAACAATCTAGCAACACTATCTCTAGTTATTGACATTTCTAATTGTTGACATCTTCAATTTTATGGGATGATCTTAATACATATACAATTATGTTCTTTCCAGATGGAAGGTAACTTACCATAAATGTGCTAGAAAAGAGTTGTAAAATGCCATAGGAGGAGCCTGCCCAAAAAAAAAAAAAAACCGAAAAAGCCAATGTCAGTAAAAGCAGCTAGAACTGTCACAAAAATAAGTATGGTAACAATAAGTTAGAAATTGGAAAAGGATTATAGGGAAGAGGCCATTTTCAGAAAAGGAAATTTCTTTACATCTTTTACATAAATTGGAAGAGAATTATAGTACTACCTTTTAAAATAAAAGTTATTTGAAAGTAAAATTGAACGTACGAAGAAAATAAAAGCAAGGGTCAACCTTGAGACTCTGAGAGGCACCTTTTTCTGTTATGTGAGAACTGTGAAACCTTTCTTCTAATGTTAGAAAGAACACACTAAGGCGAGGAGAAATCAGCATCACAGAAAAATTAAGAACAGCAATAGCGGGGTGAATATGATCTGAGTACAGAGCATACATACATAGAAATGTTACGATGAAACCATTACTTTACACAACCAATATGCACTAATAGTTGAGTATGTGGTGCACACCTGTAATCTAAGCACAGGAGGTTAAGGAAGATCTCAAGAGCTGCGTCAGCCTGGGCTACATAGTGAAATCCTGTCTTGAAGAAAAACAGAAAAGAATGTATGCATGAAATAAGGTACACAGACACATCTGCACAAATGTATATAAATATATATAATTTGTGTGTGTATACACAAATACATCCATAAACTACATTTAAGAAAAATAATGGCAACAAAAAAGAAAATGCACGCTATAACATTGTGCTTCAATTTTATTTAAAAACTTCAAGGTTTACAGAGCTCTTACATTATTATGTAACAAGTCTCTTCCTTTCCTTAAAAATCTATATGCCTTAAAGTTACATGTATTATATGTCTAAATCATAGACAGACTATATGTATGAAGTGTTTATTCATGATATATGTATTTGAACATATATTCATACATATGAAGTCCATTTGGATTGAAAAGATTCTAAGGTACCATCTTTTCTAATCACTATTATGAAGAAGCAATCATTGGATGACTTCTCCAATGACTGATTGCTTGATAGGGATATTTAAAAGTTCTTGTCTGAATTCTTCATTTGTGTAATTTTCAATTCAGCCATCTCCTTCCTTCCTTCCTTCTCTCCCTCCCTCCTTTCCTTCTTTTTCTTCCTTCCTTCCTTTCCTTCTTCCACTTTAAATTTAAGTTTACATGTTCTTTATTTTCAACAAGTGATAAATAAGATTCTGCTACTTCTATATTTTCATTAACAAAGTATTCCTCTCTTTTAAATATTTCCTAGATCATTTAAGAACTACTTTGAAGGACTTTGGCCATATAGTAATATCTGCTTTTCTCTGGGATAAAAATAAAGTGGTCATTATTGTTATTATTATTATTATTATTTATTTTTGTTCGTCGTAGGGCTTGAACTCTGGGCTTGGGCAGTGTCCTTGTGCTCTTCAGCTCAAGGGCGAGCGCTCTACCGCTTGAGCCACAGTGCCACTTCTGGTTTTCTAGTGGTTTATTGGAGATAAGAGTTCACGGGGGCTGGGAAGGTAGCTCAGTGGTAGAGCGCTTGACTTGCATGCATGAGGCTCTGGGTTCAATTCCTCAGTACCACAAAAGCAGAAAAAAAACGGAAGTGGCACTGTGGCTCAAATGGTAAAGTGCTAGCTTTGAGCTGCAGAGCTGAGGAACAGCGCGCAGGCCCACAGTTCAGGCCCCATGACTGACAAAAAAAAAGAGTCTCACGGACTTTCCTGCCTGGGCTGGCTTCACGATCCCCAAATCTCAGCCTCCTGAGTAGCTAGGATTATAGGTGTGAGCCACCAGCGCCCGGCAACTGGTCATTATTTTGCCCTCAATCTATATACTTTTAGATGGTATGGTATAATTCAAAGTATATTTTGCAAGGGAAATACCAATCACGACACAGAATAGGACTTAACAAAGGTTGTGCACAAAACATTGTCCCCAAACATTCACTTGTCGAATTTGCAACTGACTAAGTAAGGACTACTGGTCTTAAGGATATCTCATTAATCATGGAACTAAATCCCAACCCCTGACACCTTCATAAATCAACCATGTCTGGATGGAATTTTTATGTTGAGAAAGATAATAGACTTCCTGCATAAGTGTGGAGCAGGAAGCTTGCAATGAATATGTTAAGGCTCGCCTAAATCCTTTCTTCCCAGGTGGGACTTCTGTAAATTGTGTCTTTATCTTTCACATTAGGTAACTGGTTCCTCCTGTAGGCTGGAGACTATAGCTCTCTTTAATGTACACAAGTAACTCCATGGAGAATCCCACTAAGTATCAGTGGCATCACTGACAGCCTGGGATGTGGAGATAACATCCACACTTCATTACTTTCCTGAACACCGGCAGGCAAAGACAAGAAGAACTATATTTGCTCCAGGGTTATATTTATCAATATTCTATCAATTCACTTTGTTTCATTTCTCACTTCCCTTTGGATACTTGACTAAAGATGGAGCCACGTGGGGCACTTAGTTCAGGGAATGTAAAGCTCAGTGCTCTATAATTGGGCAGCATTAGCCACTTACCTATTATTCCTGCAACGATGGGGCTGGCACCAAGGGACTTGGCATGAAGGCTCAGTACAGGGACAACCATGCTGACACCAAACAAGTCCTAAGGTCGAACAAACAAGTGTCTGCATTAGTAACTGCAGAATTTCTTGAAGTAGTGATGCTCACATTACAAAACAGTTTCAAACGTAAAATACCTACCTCCACTCCTAAGAAAACAAGTATCATCACTGTATTTCAGAGTTTGTCAGACTCATCAGGTTGAAGTCTTATGAGGGAATCGGAATAGTATACCTTGAAATAGTGGTCACACATAAATGTTTGGATTACCCTAACCTTGGATAGTAGTAAGTTTTACTTTTAGCTTTTTTTGTAATTTACCTTTCACATTCACAGGAGATAGACACTGGAAGCTCCTCCCATAACACAAATTCAAACATACAAGCTGGACAATGGTGTCTCATGCCTGTAACCCTAGGTACTCAGAAGACAGAGAGCTGAGGATTATGGTTCAAAGCCAGCTTGGGCGGAAAAGTCTGTGAGACTCTTATCTTGAATTAATCCGTAAAAATTCTCAAATGGAGACATGGCTCAAGTGGTAGAGCTCAAGACTTGAGTGAAAAAGCCAAGTCCAAGTAAGCAAGAGTGAGTGAAAGGCCCTGAGTTCAAGCCACAGAGTAAATAACCCACACTATTATGAAATAGCAAGTAGAGAGAGATGTCATATTCTTTGGTGAAACAGTATTGATGTAAAGATACAAATTGATTTGGAGTTAGAGAAGGCAAATAATGTGCTGGAACCTGTAGTTTATGGTGTCACAAGGTACCATGAGAAGAAAGCCTTAGGAACACAGGAGGGGCAGAAGCAGCTGATGGGTGACAAGGCCAGTGTTTTGCAGCTGAGTAACTGAAAAGGTACAGGCTGTGAGATCAAGCAGTTCTCTCTATCATGTGCAAAATATGTGCCCTGAGAAAGAAAGTGACCTAATGTTACCAAGTCCTGAGTGCTGTCATGTGTAGAGACACCTGCCTGATAGATCTTTGATGGCATTTAGTGACATAAAAAAGGGGCGACACATTCAAACATAGCATCGCTTTTCTTGAGCTCCTGGGTAAATACAAATCCTTTTTTTCCCCCTGGTATTCTGAATTCATAAAACCACTCATATTTATTCACTTTTCCTTTAGGTTGCATCCTCATTCTTCACACAGTGTTGTGTTGGAACTGTTTTAGGAGAAGAAAGACATATTGTACACATACAGTTTTTTATTCATAGGGCTTATGAACTTCACTGAGTTGAAAGGAAAAACATACACAAAAACATCTTTTGTTGTTGTTGTTTTTGTGCCACACCTGGGGTTTAAACTCAGGGCCTGGGTGCTATCCCTGAGCTTTTTCTGCTCAAGGATGGTGCTCCACCACTTGAACCACAGTTCTACATCCAGCTTTATGATGGTGAGAGATAAGAGTCTCATGGACTTTCATGCCTGGACTGCCTTTGAACTGTGATCCTCACATCTTCACCTTCCAGGTAGCTAGGATTAGTCTCAGAGTTTATTCTTTTGCTCCCCTTGTCATCTTGGTAGCTATGTACTCAAATATGAACTTGTACCTCCTTTGTTGGTCCTTTCATCTGGTCACTTCTTTCAACAGTCAAATATCTAATTCCTAGAACTACTGTTTATTATTTCATGTTTAAAATGACTTAAAATGTGTTTAAGGTTCTAAGACAATGGCTTTGGGCCTGACTGCCAGCTCTGCTTTGTCAGTCTCCTGGGGTTTATCACCTAAAAACTCACAGTGCAGTAGACACCTATCAAGTCTTCTGGATCTTCCAGAAAAGGAAATTCAATGTTATTTAAAAAAAAATTAAAATCCTCAACACTCAAATGGTTATTCTAAATAATGATGCAAATATGTATGTCAATAGGGTGAGATCTAAAAAGATAAGATAAATATACACTCACCAGCAATAGCTGATGATTGGTTTTTAGTTTAATACTTTGTGAGTCTGAAAATACTATCTTCTTCCACAGAGGATGGCAAGACTGTTATTTTCTATCAGAAAGCTCTGTTCTAAATTGTCTTTTCCTTTTCTATAATAGGTAATCCCTTTATCTTTTTGAATCCATAGCTTCTTTAAAACCACCATCTCTTAGAACATATTTTATGTGGAACTGGCTCTACTCTTGAAGTCATTCATAAGAAAGTCCAGTAAGATGGGACAACCCAAACAACAGTTTGTTTCATCATCACTGAAAACTGATGAATATACTAAAAGATATCAGGACCTTTCTCAGGGAAGGAACCCCACTGCTGTTTGGTTTGTGGGCTGAAAGCTAGTGGAACTAAAGAGAAATCTAAACAGTTACCTAGAGAAAAGAAGGGGGTGAAAACATAGATCTTGGACCCTCTTAGCAAACTAACCAAAATTGACCTACTCTGTCATCTTAGCTATCCCTAGTTGAAACAACTTAAAACCTGAAAGGTAAAGCCAAGATATTTGTCAAATGACTTTGTTAGCCTACTTTCCTTCCTCTCCCAATAAGAAACCATTTTCCCAAGAGTCTTAGGGGATCTTTACACGTCTAAATATATCAAAGTAGTAAATAGGTTGTGTATAATATTCCTTAGATGTTATCTAACAAGGAGAGATTAGTTCCTTCAAAGTTGCACACAACTACATACATCTTAAAGCTTTAAAAAATATTTTCCATAAAAAAGAAATTCCCTAGCAGGGCTCAGTGGATCATACCTGTAATCCTAGCTACTCACTAGGCTAAGATTTTCAGTTCAATCAGCCTGAGTAGGAATGAGACTCTATCTCTAATTAGCCACCAAAAGACTAGAAGTAGAGCTGTGGGTCAAGTGGTAGATTGCTAGTCTTGAGCACAAAAGCTCAGAGACAAAGCCCAGGCCCTGGGTTCAAGCCCTAGGACCATCACACACACACACACACACACACACACACACACACAGACACACACACACAGACACAGACACACACAGACACACACACACATACACACACAACCCTACTTTGGGAAGATCATACATTTTCCCCCAAAGATATTAAATGCTTGATGATTGTCTTGAATATATTGTTAAAATTATTCAATTTTATATCAGACTTGCTATATTAAACTTGCTGTTTGGCCAGTATTCAAAAACATATAAAAGGCTGCCAATATGCAAATATGCATCAGAAGGCTGAGCATAATGAATAATTTGGGCACTGTTCTATTTTGTTTTCATAAATGAAAACAGCTCTCTGTCTAGATGATGTTTGAGATTTCATCTGACAGAATTAGGTAAGGCTGGAGTAAGATTGGAGCAAGGATCTACAATGAGAATCTACCAGTAGTAGGTAGAATCTACTATCAGAAGGTAGTTGACAGATCATCACTTTTCTAAGTCTGAAATACCCAACCATTCATTTTCTTTGAATTCTGGGTGCTTACACTGCAAAGTGGAAGAGACAAATCCAGGATGAGGAGTCTGAAGGCATGTCAGGCTCTAGAGTCAAAAGCATGAAAGGTGGGGCTGGGGAAACAGGGAAGGAGGACCAGGGTGAAAAGCTAACTAGAGACTAAGATGTCTTTAAGAAGTTGCCCTCTCTCCATCTTACCTGGGTCTAGGAATAGACATTTGGTGCTTCAGGATCATTTTTGTTTGTGTCAGTCCTGGGGCTTGAACTCAAAGCCAGGGTATTTTTCCTAAGTGTTTTTTTCTCAAGGCTAGTGCTCTACCACTTGAGCCACAGTTCCACAACCAGCTTTATGGTGGTTAGGGATAAGAGTCTCATACTGGCTTTGAACTGCAATTCTCAAATCTCAGCCTCCTGAGTAGCTAGGATTACAGGTGTGAGCCACCACCAGCACTTGGCATGCTTCAGGATCTTAACAACTATTAATTCACCAGCGAAGTGTTGCCAACTGTTGCATATGTTACAAAGAGAAGGGGATTAAAACTGACTCTGTGCTCTGGTCCTACCTGAGGATGTCCTATCTGGCTTGGCTTCCTAACTCCTTCTGTTAGTACAGCACCACCCTGGGAGAAGTAGTAATACACAAAATAGTCAATTCATTTTTGCCAAGGTCAAGTGTTATCAGATTCTATCTGCAAAGCTCTCCTCCTATGGACATTTCAACTAGTCAGCACCTTCTCCAAAAGTGAATCCTACCAGGTATTTTTTCCAACCTAGGTGTGCTCATAATCAATGCTATTGATTATGATTTAGAGTGGGAAGGGGAAGACTGAGGAGGTAGATCAGGGTCCCTGGGGATTTCATGGTCCAAAATTATGAACATAAATTTCCTACATTTTGAGGAACCAGGAACTATTACAATATTGGAGGTCTACAACACCTTCCACATGGCAGTTGTTCAAAAGTTCCATGAATGACTACAGCACACTCATCCTTCCGAAGGTTTTCATTATACATGGGAACTGGCCACTTCTGGACCGAACTAGGACACGGACACACACACACACACACACACACACACACACACACACACACCAGTATAATGAAACAAAACTGCCGTGCAAGATATAAACATTCTACCTAAAGAAAGATGTACTGTATCCAGTGCATTGTAATTTCCTTTTATATTTTTCTTCCAAGAATCAAGTCCACCGGGAACTCAAACGAAAATGTGTCTAATTCTATCCAGGTGGGCAATTTTCCCTACCCCTGATCTGGGGGAGAGCCTATGTCAGTAAGGCACCACAAAGTTGGGCTTTCTCTGGAGCCTAGGCTGTGGGTCCTGCACCTGCCACAGCACTTAGCTCCAGAAGACCCCTCCAAGAGGGGCTAGCACACACAGCCAAACCCTCTTGGTTAGGAGAGGGGGGAGAGGGTAGGAGGAGGGTCCAAGGGTAAGGACCGGGCAGACTAACGCACCTAGTCCTGGCTGAGCTTTGCAAACCCCGGGACTTGAAGAAATCACGGCTCGGTCTCGGTCCTAAGTCCTGGATGGAGGGGGTGCCTGACCCTCCCGCCCCAGCAGCCGTACTCACCAAAAAGCCCACCAAGTAGACACGGAACAGGAAGCTGCGGGCTCGGACCGCAATGAACCCCGGATCCCGCATTGCCGCTCCTGGACGTGGCTTCTGCAGCGGCTCGGGGATCGCTGAGGCCAGCCCAGGAGCTAAGCTGGGGCGCCGACGACCCTCCTGCTCCATACCTGCGCAGGCGCGCAGCGAAGACGCCGCCGCAGCCCCTGGGAACGTCCCCAGCTCTAGCCACGCCTCCGACGCGCCAGCCACGCCTCCGGCGCGCCAGCCACACCTCCGACGCGCCAGCCACGCCCCTGCACGCTAGCCACGCCCCGCGCGTGCGTCAATCCTGACCCCAGCAGAAAAGACTGTGCACATGCAGAGACTAGCGAGTGTTCAAGCCTTTGAGCATCTGGGCTGTGTCAGGAAGGCGGGAGGAGGAGATGATTTGGAGTCTGAGGGTTTCCTTGTGTCTCAGTCCCAGAGAAACTTTCTGAACAAGTGGAGATCAGAGAGGTAGGCAAGGACAAGGGATCACGCAGGACCTAAAAGGGCCACGTCAGAGCTTTCGGGTTGTATTCTGACTGCAATGAAAGGAATTAAGTGGATGAGGGATGCCAAATACTGTCAGAATCATAGTTAATTGTGACTAGGTACTATCCCATGATAGGCAATAGTACACTTAACTATAGTTAATTAACAATTAAGTATAGTTAGGAATGCCTGTTTTATTCTGGAGATACAGCAGTAATTGGGATCCCGAGTCCTGCAGGGATATTTGTGGCCAATTTACTGTAGTATGGTAAATGGGGAACAGAAAGCCTACCAGAATATTATTTAGCTTTATGACAGAAGAAATCCTACAACTGGTATCTCAAACCCTGACTTGATTTACCCCCAAGTGAACAGAGTCACACCACTAAATTATTGGATTTAGTTAAACATAGAGGAGGGGAAGAATCCAGACTTAAATCTTCCTCCAAGCTTTTCTAGCCTTTGATAGAATGGCTGTGCTAGTTTTTCATCATATTCTAAGGAAATGCTTGATCTAATGAACTTATAACGAGAAAAGGTTTCTTTTGGCCTGAAGATTTGGAGGTTTCCATTCATAATAGTTGGGCCCTGTCACATCAGACCTGAGGCAGTGCTGCACACTTATCACTTCATGGTCAGGAAGCAAAAGAGAACAATAAACGATGTCTGTGGTCTTACATCTGCATCAAGGGCCTTTTTGAGGCATCAGGATTCCAACCAATATCCATGACTGTAGAAAAACAAAAGGGATACCCAAATTTGAGGAGAATTACTAGATAATGGTTTTGAATTGACACTAATTCTTGGGGCTTCACAATGCTACTGTGTTTTATCAGTTCAAGGAAAATTTTATGGGGAGATCCTAATAATTCCTCCAGAGTCAACGTGTGTCTCAGAGAGCTCAAAATCCACATAATAAGGTTGTGGTTGTGGATACATTTTATTGCACAACAAAGCAATTTGCATGAGACAAAATATGAATGCAAATAATCACAAGTCTTCCTACAATGCAGTCATAGGTGTGATTAATTTATCTAGCAATGAGCTTCAAAACACATGGCAACTGTTATTAGAAAAGCTCTGTAGCACTAGAATGGTAGAGATTTTATCTGGGGCTGGTTATCCAGGAACCTTTCAGCATCTATCAAAACTCCAGACTCCTAGAAAAAAAAAAAGAAAAAGAAAAACTACATCATTTGTACATTTAGGCACAGTGAGTCACCCTTACAGGTTAGGATGGGAAGAATCCTCTCCAAATCTGAGTTTGTAAATACTATCCCAAAACAATATTTTAATGACTGGGGACATAGCTTAAGTGGTAGAGCACCTGACTGGTAAGCCCAAGGTTGCGTTCAAATTCTAGTACCATTAAAAAGAAAAGCTAGTTTTCAAAGGATAGCAGGTCTATTATGTCCTTTATAGGAGGCTAGAGTTGTCAGGTGATAAATGAGACCTTATCTGAAGCCTGATTCACAGTGGGCCCAAATAATGGATTGACTTTTGTGGGGGGGGGTCAGTTGTGGGGCTAGTGTTCTGGGCTTAGGTGCTGTCCCTGAACTCTTCAGCTCAAGGTTAGCATGGTATCACTTGAGCCACAGTGCCACTTCTTGTTTTCTGAGTGGTTTATTGGAGATAAGAGAGAGTCTCATGGACTTTCCTGCCTGGGCTAGCTTTGAACCAGGATCCTTAGATCTCAGCCTCCTGAGTAGCTAGGATTACAGGCATGAGCCACCGTTGCCTGGCAGATTGACTTTTTTAAGTTCCTAAGTGTATAATTGGAAAAATATCCTTAAGCAACTGTCAGTATATGTGAAGACTCGGGGTCTATGTTGAGGGGGCAGAATAATGCAGGCTTCAGCCTCAGGATTATCTGAGGACTGTGTTTGGGATTAGAAAAGCTCTTGGAACTCCAGGCTAGAGAGGGAAAATGTTCTCTCTCCCTATCTCAAAACACATGTCACAGACTCCTGGGAGCTGAGGAAGTAGCTCTTCTGCTTGCTTAAGCATAGATGAACAGCTGGTCAAGCATTTTCCTGAGATTGGAGAAGTGGTTTGAGCTTGCACTAAAATAGTTTAGATAATAATATACCTAGACATTGTCTCATTGTCTCATGTATCTGTTGAAATTTTTTGAGTGAATGTTTTCTGACCAAATCTTGGCAAAGATTATGCTTGCTTGTCTTTAAATACCCACTAACAATAAAACACAGCATGCAGTGGCAATTGCTGTTTGCACTCTGCATCCCCTGTGTTCTGGTGATTTCATGACCCTTACCCAGGGACCCCAATGCACTAGACGTTGACAATTGGCGCCCGAACAGGGACCCTGCATTGTTGAATTCAGGAAGGGATATTCAGGTAAGTACTTTTAATTACAGGGTGATGGGACAAGTTAGGTCTACTCCGTACTTACATATGCTTAAACATTTACTTGCTGCTTATGGTGTAAATATTTCTTCTTCTGACATAGAAATGTGTATTAATGTAGTTAGGGAATGGAATCCTTGGTTCCCCGATGAAGGAATATTAGACGTTGACAAGTATACACTGAGTGTATGAATGAATGTGTTCTGTTATGGTAGAAAATTGGAACCTCTAGAACTTCAATACAAAGATAGCAAAATGGAAGCAATGTCTAGTTCCTGGAGTAATTAAAGTGATTGCTTTTTATTAGTGGCTTAGAAAAGTAAAAGTAGTCAAATGTGCCACATACAGGTGTGCTACATCTGCATTTAGTTTATCCACCTAAGCTCATGAAGAAACCAGGTAGATCCTGGAGAATGGCTGAACCCGGTTTTAAATAGCATCAGTTTGGGCTGGGAAGGTGGCTCAATGTAGAGTGCTTGCCTTGCATGCATGAAGCCCTGGGTTCGATTCCTGAGTACCACATAAGCAGAAAAAGCTGGACGTGGCGCTGTGGCTCAAGTGGTAGAGCACTAGCCTTGAGCTGAAGAGCTGAGGGACAGTGCCCAGGTCCAGAGTTCAGGCCCCACAACTGACAGTAAATAAATAAATAAATAGCATCAGGTGTTAACCCCATTGCAGATGGCGTGCTAGATGAACCTTTACTGCAATTGATCAGTCAGTATACCTAAAGGTAGTTGGTGAGCAGCTACTGGCCTGAATAATGACTTATTTCCCCTTGTTCAAGCAAGTTTGTAAAGACTAACTTCAAAAAGCAATTTGCTTTAACTTCACAGTGCCAACAGTATACCTTAATAGTTTTGCTTCAGGGCAGATTCAGTCTGTCTTTTGCTACAATAACATTGTTCATAGAAATCTTGATCACCCTGACATATCACAAAATATCTCATATATATGTTAAACTTACAGCTTTAAACTAATCAGGTCTGCTATGCAGGATGTAAGTAGTACTTTAAGTGTGGATAGGACAGGTGCAAAACTAGAGGATGGGAAATAAACACCTCAGAAATTCTGAACCCCCGGGGCTGGAATGGTGGTTCAGTGGTAGAGCGCTTGCCTTGCATGCATGAGGCCCTCCGTTCGATTCCTCAGCACCACATAAACAGAAAAAAAAGCTGGAAGTGGTGCTGTGGCTCAAGTGGTGGAGTGCTAGCCTTGAGCTGAAGAGCTGAGGGACAGCACCCAGGCCCAGAGTTCAGGCCCCATGACTGGACCCCTCCCCCCAAAAAAAGAAAAGAGAAATTCTGGACCCCCTCATATTGAAGCTCTCTGGAAGGGAAAAGACAAGCATCTGTATATCATGCAACTTACTGTAAAAGAAGAGTCCCAACACTTGGTGAACCTGTTTGAAGTATTGTGGCAATATATATCATAATTGAGACCATCACTTAAATACAGCTTGGATCTTACCTTGAAAAGCTGCCTATTTCAATTGAAGAAGTAAGAGAATAACCTACAGTAAGTCCAGATGGCAGTAGAATAGCCATATTAAGCCTTAAAATTCAACATAGACAATGAATTATAAATCTTTATATATATATATAGAGAGAGAGAGAGAGAGAGAGAGAGAGACAGAGAGAGAGAGAGAGACAGAGAGAGTAATGATTCTGACTGTTGCCTTTGCCTTGCTTCAGAATGAGATGCACAATATAGATCTGTGATTAGAGCCACTATCTTCCTCTTTGGCAGGTATCTATTCTCTTGGAGCTTCTGACATGCTCCTGGGCACTGGTGGAAAGGATACAACCAGTAATTTATGTTTTATAGTATTGTATTAAGAAATCTAAAATCAAGGGCTGGGAAGGTGGCTCAGTGGTAGAGCGCTTGCCTTGCATGCCTGAGGCCCTGGATTCGATTCCTCAGTGCCACATAAGCAAAAAGAAAAAAGCCGGAAGTGGCGCTGTGGCTCAAGTGGTAGAGCGCTAGCCTTGAGCTGAAGAGCTGAGGGACAGCGCCCAGGCCCAGAGTTCAGGCCCCATGACCGGACCCAAAATAAAGAAAAAAAGAAATCTAAAATCAATATCACTGTTGGAAATCAAGTTGTCAGAAGGACTTGTGCTATATGTGAACTTTAAAAGTAAATACCTGTCTTGTTTTGCAGGTTTTTTTTTTTTTTTTAGCTTCTTGAGGCTACTAGCTTTCCTTGGCTTGGTGCTGCATTAGTGCATTTTTTTTAAAGCCTACTATGTCCAAATATACCTATCTATCTATCTATCTATCTAGCTAGCTATCTGTCTGTCTGTCTGTCTGTCTATCAATCTATG